AGCTGAAAAATGGTGGTTAATGGCCATGAGAGTGGAAGGCAGAGATACAGACATGAAAATGTTAAAATCTTACCCTTTTATGAGAAGAGCTACTAAATCTAGAACACAAGTTGTATTGTGGAAATTTCAAATACACAACTATACGTTTAAAAGGATTGTATGGTGGGTTTGCATATATTTTTTTTAATGTGGTCAGAACTAAAATATATACACATGAGCTCCTGTAGATTACGGTGCCAACATTCAGAGCCTCTTCCATGGGCTAAATATAATGTATATAAACCTCAAAATACAAGGGTTGCAGAACTCAATCAAAAATGTATTGTAGCAAAAGGTACCTATACAGATCTGTGTATGTACACTATATTATGTCTACAATTATGTGAAGAACGGTCCAAAATACTGTGGTATAGTGAAGGGTAGCGTAAATGCTACAACATACAAAGACATTTTAGGCAATTGTGGGCTTTGAACTTTGCGGCAAAATTTGAGGAATGTACTTTTCATGTTCCAGCAAGACCCTGCCCCCTGTGGACAACTCCAGCTCCAAAGAGACATGGTCTGATGAGTTTGGCTTGGAGGACATTGAGTAGCCTGCAGAGAGCCTGATCAATACCCTGTTGAATTTGGAAGGCCAATAGCAAGCCAAGTCATCTCATCCAACATCACCCGACCTCACAAATGCTGAATGGGTACAAAATTATGCCAGACGCAAAACAACATCTTGTGGAAAGTCTTGACAGAAAAGTGGAAGCTGTTATAGACCTACTTCATTTTAATGCACATGGTTTCAGACTGAGATGTCTAAAAAGCTCATATAAGTGTGATGGCAAGATATCTTAAACCTTGGTCATATAGGATTTGTACATTGATATAAATCTGGTTATGGATTAACTGGCTGGTTGTGGCATCTTCTGAGATTACTAGATTTGGATTAGTGCTGACCAGAGCCCATGGAAGCCAGGCAGCGTGTAATGACTTGCTGCCCGGCTTCCTGATTGGTCTGGAAGCTGGCCAATCAGGAAGCTGGGCGCCATGTAATTACATGGCACCCGGCTTTCTGATTGGCCGGGAAGCCGGCTTTATGTTCCCTAGTCACCTCATGACAAGAAGTATGGGGATGGCTTCCTTGGTGGTCAGTCGTTACATGCCGCCTGGCTTCCGTAATGGGACTTCCGGTATCGGTAAGTACGGGGAAAAAAAATATCGGTACTCTTACTCAATACCGAAATACTGGTATCGGTGCATCCCTAATATATATATATCTACACTGATCAGCCATAACATTATGATCACTGACTGGTGAAGTGAAGGAATAACATTGATTTTTTAATTACAATAGCACCTGGAAGTGGGTGGGATATATTAGGCCACAAGTAAACATTTTGGTACTGAAGTTGATGTGTTGGAAGGAAAAAATGGGCAGGCATAAGGATTTGAGCAACTTTGACAAGGGCCAAATTGTGATGGCTAAACAACTGGGTCAGAGCAACTTCAAAACTGCAGCTCTTGTGAGATGTTCCCGGTCTGCACTGGTCAGGGCCAACCAAAAGTGGTCCAAGGAAGGAAAACTGGTGAACCGGCCACAGGGTCATGGGCGGCCAAGGCTTACTGATGCACGTGGGGAGCGAAGGCTGGCCCATGCAGTCTTATCCAATAGAAGAGCATATTACTATTTTGTATTTTTATTTTCAGCCAGTGGGTGGAGCTTAAGTCTCCCTCTCATATGTTTACCTGTCTACACTTAGCTGCTCTGCTGAAAAAAATATTCTATTACAGAGATCAATAGTTTAGGTTTGAATGTACGCACACAGCTGAATGAATCCTGTTCCCAGGGGCTGTACACATTTTAGAAGGGCTAGTGTGAAGACTTCTGCTGGGCCCTATTTTAGAAAACTCATACTGCTCTGTAAACCCTATGCCATGGATGCACCCTGTGACATTTGTTTGTAGAATAAAGACTTTATGTATATATATTGTGTAAAAAAGGAACAATAATTTGTTTAAAAACTGAAGGATGAAAATAAATGAAATAATTCTTATTTTCCTATAAAGGGAGTATCTTAAATATAGATGAATCCAAACTGCTGTTAAAGTTTGAAAGATAAGATTATCAAATAATTGTAGGATTTGAATGTTTATTTTAGCACTCACCCCAAAGTATCATTGTTTATGGCTGTTAAGAAATAAGCCCCCCCCACTCCCCGCCTCTTGTTTTTGGAGAGCTTGACAGGTCTTGAAGTAAGAGGCAAGATGATGACAAGGTGACAAGCTTGGTGGGATTCTATGACTGCAGATAGCCTTAAGAAATGATTGAATGTTGTGATAAGTCATGTTACTTTTAAACATAACTTGCAAAGAGTTGGCATTCCCTTTAAAGACTTCCAAGCCTCCACATTTTGACATGTTTCACATTGTTCTAACATCTGCAGACTGGCCGAGGGCCACTGGATGTATGTAATCAAGCATTTATCCAACAGGGAGCCAGCAATGTGTTGGAAACAGCAGCGTTTAATGTTTTATACTTGCAGTACTAATAGGAGTCTGGAACATGTATCACTTTAAATGTTACCAATATTTTTTTACACAACTTGTGTTTTAGATTTATAAATTGAGCCCTTAACATTAGTTTTTTTTTAAAAAACAAAGAAAATTTGAATAAACAGCCCAGAATGAACAAGACATTTATGGCCAAAGTATATGCACATATACACGTCATCATTTGTCAACCTCACTGGGAGCAATGGCTTCAATCTGTGGTTTATTGTTTCAGTTAAAGGTTGGTTTCCTGGACTCCACATGCCAGCATACTAGGAGTCAGCTCTTCCTCCCCTAACCCTGTAGGACCATATTTAACAGGTCTATAAATCTGAGAGTGTCCCACCCCATATTTTCTTTTTGTCCTTTCTGGAAGCCTGAACAGAAGAATAGCTGCTTTTTCAAAGGTGACTTCTTCCTCCTAGTCAAGTAGACCGAATTGGCCAGGATCTTCTTTCACATTTTGTGTCCTCAGTTTTATAGTTACATAGTATTTGAGGTTGAATAAAGACACAGGTCCAGCAAGTTCAACCTATTGCGTGCATGCATGTGATTCTGCATGTGTATGCTTGTGTATGAGTCCCTGTGTGATCCTGATCTTAAGTGTACCTTTACCCCTGTATGTTACGGTCTCTGCCTAGTTTACATTTTTTTCTTATTGAAGCTTGTTTGGAAGTTTTGTTAGATTCTGTTCTTGTTTCCTGCCCTTATTTATTGTTATCGCTTGCTAGATCCCATGGTATGCTGACATGCGGAGGCTAGGAACACAAATAAGTGTTATCAATACTTCCCTGCAATTTACCTTCCCTTGGACTATCCTCATGTCATCATAGGTCTCCCCATACTGTTGGTTCTGCCATGAGTCTAGTGATGAAACATCATAGGGTGGGACACTCTCAAATTTACAGACTTATTAGAGATGGTCCTATGGGGTCTGGGGAGGAGGATCTGACCCACATTATGCTGACATGAGTTTAGGTAAGGAAAGAAAAAAATACAGGTATGTAAGTGTTCTTAAAAATGTTCCATATTTCCATTTTCATTTCTTCTATGTTAGTATTGCTACTAGTGACCCAGGTCAATTAGCTTTTAAGGGCTGCTTGAAAGCAGCTAAGACATGGAGGAAAAATCAGTGTAATTTGGCTTTTCTTTGCCAGTACAGCTCATTACTTAGGCACCTACTGAAATAAACAGATTTGCAAGCCTGCAGCTGTATTGTACCAATAAAAAAGCCACGTTGTTCTGAGCAGTCAGGCTGACAGAGTTGATTACCAGGTGTCCACAGGAGGCAACCGCCAATCCTTACTACGAGGAGATAATATTACCCCATTAGCTTTGGAAGCATTTTAGCTGAAACCTTTCAGAACACGTTTTCAGGAACCAATATTTTTAATATGTTTAGCTATTTTTTGGTCATTTCACAGTGTAACATTTCTTCAGCATAAAATCTCTCTTACTTAGTCACCAATTCCAACAGTTCCTGTTTTATGAGCCTCAAGCTATTCACAGATTCAGACTGATATGCTTAATAGTTTGTCTGATTCACAACCCACTTCTAGAAAACAGTACTGTATAGAATGGTGACCTATAACCACTGGCTCAGGAGCCACAAATGGCTGCCCACTATAAAACAGTCATCTCCAACCATTGTCTCAGGAGACACTGGGGTTTATTTACTGAAGGCAAACAGGCTGTTCACTTTTCAAGGGAATTTGCACTTAACAGGGAAAATTTGCCCTTAGTTTAGTGAATGAAAAATGCTGTTTTTTTTTTAAATTTTCCTTGCACATGATTGGGTGTTCTTTACAAAGTGAAGTTTCAACACATTCACTAAGCTAAGAGAAACCTCCCCCTGCAAAGTGCAAATTCCCTTGCAAAGTGAACAGCCTATTTGCCTTTAGTAAATCAACCCACTGTCTCACTGTCTCTCCACTACAGAACAGTGACCTCCAACCACTGGCTCAGGAGCCACTTATGGCTCTTCACTATAAACAGCAAGTTAAAAAAACTGGCCCAGGAGCCACATGTGTCTGTCATCTCTAGAACCAAGACCTACACAGATGGCTCTCTGCTATAGAACAGTAACCTCCAACAGAGGAGCCACATAAAGTTCCCCACTCTTTCTGAGACAGCTTGAGACAAGCCCTTAACATGTACTTGGCTTTTAACAACATCTTCAATATATAATAATCAAAGGCATAAAACTCATTAGAGACAATCCACACATAGTAGTAAAACCATCACAAGTAAAACCAAACTTGTGAAGCTTAAATTGGGCAAATGCTGAAAACGTCCAAAGAAGAAAGTTAGAATTTTTGAAAGGGGGAAGTTGAAATATTATTAAAATGAGGTTCCCCTATTAGGTTGAAATCATTTCCTTTCCTTTTAAACTGGGGACCTCTGGAGTAGAGGCAACCGATAATTATGTTTGATGAGTTTGCGTGCTCACTGTACAATTAAAATTATTGTGTTCAACTGTTCATTACATTCCCCTTTCTTTAGCGATGATTAGATGATTCTCTCACCTTTGTACTCACAGATAATGACCAATATATTAGAGTGTAATAATGATAGATGAATTATATTAATATATTCAATGACCAGACAGCTTAAACTAATGGTACGTGGCTATTTACTTTATGGAGAGGACTGTGTAAAGGTTGAGTAGAAACAAAGCAGGATGACAGTGCTAGGAGGTATCTGTGGTTAAATGAGCTGCTGTGTAATGATACAATGAATGAGCATAGTAGAGTCATGTAATATGCTGCTTACATACTGAGATGTAATAAATATGGAGCAGTTTTGCCCCGTAATTAGAGCATAAGGTCTTGGTACCCTGAAAACAGAGGGAATGACTGGGGCTAGGACCCCTGGCTTTCTTCCTGCCCCCTGTGTCCAGCATATAGAGCAGCCAGTTGGCGAAATCTGGGGCCCCAAGAGCCCAACTGTGAAAAGTCCTGCTCTGAAGTTGTAGACCAGGTGCTAATGGAACTGAGAGAGGCTGCACTGGAGCCAGAGCCCTCAAAGGCATAAGTCTGAAAGGAGTCATAAGGAGGCACTGATGAGTCCTGATCTGCCATCCTCACTTTTCTACTGATGTAGTCTTTGAAGAGTGAAAAGTCCATTTCAGCCCCTGGAAACCACTGAGGCAGTGGGTGGCGCTGGGAAGCAAGTGAACTGTCCCCTCCAGCCTCACTTCCTTCACTGTAGTTGTACAAGCTCCGCAAGGCTGACATGTCGTAGGCCTCTGTATCTTGTTCTCCACCACCCTCGTCGTTGTACTTGATGACATTATCCCTCATATCTTCATCCTCATCCGATGTAAGATGACCCTGGTGGTGTCGTTTTAGAGCCAGAATAAGAAGAATCAGCACTGTTTACGAGAAGATAAAGTATGCTTAATAATGAATAAACATGCGTGGGCAGAAAAACAGTGACTGTTCACTTAAAAGGTTATTGTCCTTATAAAACTCAATGACTATGACTACAACTGTTCATTTAAAAGGTTATTATCCTTATAAAAGCCAGAGTACTACATACGGTACTAACTTTGTGACTATTAGCTATTTTGATAATGAAAGATCTGTTTTTTTATAAATCAACTAAGTACATTAAGGGACTTCTCTTTATGATACCATAACAATATATAAGGATATATATATATACACACACACACACAGTATTTATAGTGAACTGCCAGGATTGTGGATGGTGTGTGAGTGTAACCTAAGTTTCTCAGCTACACAAGGGGAGATGCTCTCAGGTTTATGACTGATATAGAGAAACAAACTTGGAGCCTTGATACTTTGTAGAGCTTTGGATTTGAATAAGCATGCATCCCTATGTCCACATCTAACCTGGTAGCCAGATCTCATTATTAGTCTTGCACAGGCCTTTAAATATTAGCTGACTGTTGCTTAGGGCTCTCTCTCTCTGCTGAGTGCTGACAGAAGACTAAAAAGGTGCAAGTGCTGCCTGTTTGTTTGGGGAAACCCATTGGGGGGCACCCTGTTATATGGTGAAGTAAAGCTTGTACTAGTGTACCCTAAGGGCACCATTATGTACATGTCAATGCACTTATTTTGTGCATTAACATGCTTAACGGTAAAACAGCCTATCCATTTTGAATGAGCTGTCCACCCAAACACATATTTGAATGAAGCGCAATGTTAAGATGGTCCATAGCCGTGCATTGTGGTGTGCTAAAACACAGGTATCGTGCTACTGCAACGCATAGTGTAATTGGTGCTTAAAGACATGTAACACCCCCCTGGATTCTATGGGCAAGAGGGGATGACCTTTCCGTAGCCTCAATGGGGGATGTGTAAAATGAAATAGGGTGCCAGTTACTTTTAGAATCTTAGGATGCTTTATTAGAACCAACAACAAAACAGGAAGAGAGGGTATAGGGCAGCAGACATCCGTGGAATACAGAACTCTAGACTCAGCAAATGCCCCCCAGCTTCACAGTGTAGGGGGTCTATGAATCAGAAGTACAATGACACTGTGTTAAAGCACCATTGCTGGCAGACATTTTGAGATCTCTCCCAGGTGAGACTGGCTTCTCAGGTACCTCAAGCAGACGAAATTCCTCCCTGGCTCTCCATCCCAGAAATCGTTCTGGAACCCTACTGAGCCCACATCTGAACATCTGCAGGCTTCAGGCCTGGTCCGACAGCACACATGTAACACACCTCCCACAGGCAGGAGGCCCAAGGTAGAAAGAGGCTCCCACATAGTCAGTCCCAGATATTATATATTAATTTTATATATATATATGTCCTCTCAAAGCATGCACCACTGGCCATGAAACTCCTAGTGATTGGCTGGAGAGACATATATATCAATAGTATTCCATTATATACAGTACACCCAGCAGCAGGCAGATGCAAACAATAACAGAACTCTTAGGGAAAAAAATGACCAATGACTGAATGCAGTCTCAGCATACTAAAGTAGTTACACCACTTTGGCAAGGTGACTACACACAAAATGCTACTTTTTGTAATATATGCCAACTATACAATGGGTTTGGGTTACTAAATGCGTAGGGAATGTTCACTCTGTGCTAACTTAGTGAAAAGGTGAAGCTATGTTTACATGGGTGATAGAAGTGAACACAGCTGCACCTTATTCACTCAACTAAGTGTACATTTGCTTAAGGTTAAATTCTCTATGGGTTTAGTAATTCAACCACATTGCCTAACTCTATGCACATGCTTACAAGAAAGCAGTGCACAGAGATAAGATCAACAGTGCTCTACCATTCCTTCATTGTCTAAACAGTAAGCTGGTAGTCAGCCTTCAGCAAGCTGTACTACTTAATTGGCTGGATCACAACACATTTTAGGCAGGTAAAACAGCTAAAATATATGTATCGCAACTGTGTGCATGGAGTTCAGATTTAATAGTGTATTAAGGCTGATCCAAGTGTATAAGGAGTGAACAATAAAAACCAAGGAACAAAAATAGAAAGAAAACAATATTTTCATGATAAGACAGTTTATATTTTTGGAGGCTTGGTTCCATTTTGTAGTTAAAGACTAATCTCTCTCCATACAAGTGAAGAAGGCATGTCAAGTTGAACCCCCCCCCCAGAATTGATGGATGCTTACCTGTATGACTCCACCTGAGAAACGTGTACAATTTGCCATATTGGAATTGTGAACAAAACTTCAAGGGCAATCACAGGAACTTTGCAGCAGAGATTTGTAGTAGTCACATAATTTTCTCTGCTGTTCTTTAGCTGGCTACAAAGTTGCTTTTATAGCTGACTACAGTACTTCTCAAGCAGCTACAAATCGCTGAGCTCCATTGGGGGGTGTTGAATGCCAGTTGCTCCCTGTGACACAGATCTCTCATGGTCAGCAAATCATTTTTTTTTTCTGGCAACAAAACTCTAACAAGGGAGATTCTGTAGCTGCTACAAAACCACTTGTGCGACATAGACATTAGGAAAGGAAGCTAAAGGAATCAGAATCCAGGGGTTATTCTGCTATTTCAGTTTTTAAAAAAAACAGTTATTATAACCAACTTTCTTTTCTTACCTTTAATTAGTTATTGGTCAGATCATGGGTGAAAGTGATCACAAAACATAGTAAGATTGAATAAACTTACCAACAAGAATCAGGACACACACCAGCAAGGCAATAAGGGCTCCAGGACTGAGACTCCCAGCCATCACATAGGCAGTGGTGTTACATGACCGCACAGCGCCAGTACTGTCACAGCCGCATACTCGTATGGTAAGGGTTCCTGTGCTGCTTAGCGCTGGTGTACCTCCGTCAACAACCAGAATTGGTAAGATATACATGTCCTGCTCCCTCCTGTCAAATGGCATCTGGTGCGTATGTACTGATGCTGTGTTATCTGCAAATGGAAATGGAGTCATGTCATAAAAAAAAAAAAATATTAGAACTAAAAAAGTTTTTGGACAATATTGTTAGGTATGCTTGGAAATGATTTAAATACCTATTTTTTCTTTATTAAAATGCTGCTTTCTGCCCTTCTTCAAACTAATCTGCACTAGCAGAGCTGAGTAACAGCCACACCCCTTTAGAACAAGCCTTTTCACTAACACATGTGTTGCAGAGAAAAACGAGGGGGGTGTCAGAATGTGTTGCAGAGAAAAAGGAGGGGGGTGTCAGAGCAGGTCTGTGCGCTTTAATGAGAGCACTGGGTCTTTTCTGATCTGGCGACGTACACTGTACGTCGTCAGTCACTAAGGGGTTAAACTGCAGTCATATTTAGACTTGGAAAATCGAGGTTGTTGGTACAACGTCTTTAAGAATGCATTTTTACTTCCAGAGTTTAGTGTCACTTTAACATTTACAGAAATTTACAGGACTTCGGTTTCCCATATTTCTGGATCTTCTAGTCATTTCAACAAAAGTTTTTCACTGAAGTGGATCTGTACTTATGCATTTTTTTTTTTACCATAAGTTTACGTTGAATGGCTCAGTTTTGACAGAGCTTTACTTTAAATAAACAAGATTTCTAAAACAGATCTCAAATATTCAAAAAATGAGTGCCCCAGCTCCCAGCCGTATAGAAACCTAATAAAAAACTGTAATCCTCCAGTTGCTATTGCATAAATATCCCAGCCTCCTACGGAAACAAAGACTACACAGAATAGTAGCAGGGGATCCTTGTCACTCAGGGACTACATTTCTTATAAGACTTTGAAGAGGGTGCTTTGCAGGGGCAGGCGCACAATACTAGGTGGGTTGTGGAGTGCAGAACTCCACTACTAGCAACACACACCATACCATCATGGCATGACCACTGTAGTCCTGAGAACTGCAGTGAAAGTGTCAGTGACAGTCATGTCAGACAGGAAAAGGCTGTACAGCAGGGGCCCCTGAATTACTGTTCTGAATCTGTCATAAAGACTGTTAAAAGTTGTTAAAAAAATGTTACTGATTAAATCCATCTCAGCAAGAATCTTCTCTGAGGGATTCTCAACCCTACTGGCTGCTGCAATGGTTGTTTCTCATATAAAGAAGTTTGAATGAAGTTGTGCTCTGACAAGCTGTCACATGGAAGCTGACTGGATAATGCAAATCAGCTTTAATTTAAGTTATGCCAGCCTGCCACATAAAGAGAAGCAACCTTCACGGAAGCTGACAAGGATCTCAATGACTGCTGGTGTCCCATGAAGAGGGTTGGAAGAAGTAAAGTGTTATTGTGTTCCACATTTTAAAAATATAGAGCTGAAATTCTTGTACAAATGAAACTTATGGCGTTTCAAGATGTGTTGCCTGCTTTCATTTTTTGGACTTTTAGGTAAAAGGTTCAGAAACCGTTGTGAAGCATCAATGTGATCTTCCTTATACTTAGGCAGTAAGGGGCTTACTATTCATTAAAGCCTAGTATTTCTTATATTTGAAAGTACTATATATACAGTGGGGCAAAAAAGTATTTAGTCAGCCACCAATTGTGCAAGTTCTCCCACTTAAAAAGATGAGAGAGGCCTCATCTTTTTAAGTGGGTTATATTGTATATCTATAGGTTTTTAATATCTATTTTTAAATGACTATTTTGTAATAATAAAATGTGTTTATTTGTGTTCAAACAAATCTTTTTGTGCAATGGATCTTTCTTGGGTGCTATATTTAAATTTCCCTGTTTTTTCTTGAATGTTATAACATTTTTAGTGACGATAAGACATTAAGACTGTAGAATTGATTTGGCTACATTCACCCTCCCCTGCTTTTTATTTCTAACAGTAAATGCAGCCAGTCAGCTACAGTTACTAGTCGAGTATTAGATAGCCATGGGCATGAGTAGTCAAAATACAATGGCTGGCAGGGGAAATTCTTCCATCCACCAACCAGACATGTATGGACAGTTTCAGTAACCACAGTATAGGTGACCTTTAGAAAGAAATTTAGTAAAGCCCGACAGTGATCAATTAATCAATAATGCTGGACCTCATTTTTCGATGTGTCTGAAGAAGTCTGTTGTACCCTATAGTGACCAATCACAGTGACAAAGAGAAAAAGTGGGGATCTGATTGGCTTCCACTGACAATACATACAGTTCTTATTTGAGATAAATGGAGAGGACAGCCTTGGAAAAGAAGGAAACCTGTTGATGTCTGTCAGGGTTCCACCCTGACTTTACCTGTTTGCAGCATTCTGGCTTGGCTGCCATTTTACTCACCTGTGTTTCCTTCTTTGCCTGAGCAGACTCTGGAACATTGCTCACTACTCCCAGGCTCCCTCTTATGGCCAGACAGGAGAGCATCATCTGAGAGAGTCAGATGGGAGTTTCCTGTCTCTGAGTGATGATGTCATCCCACTCACTATATATAAACCACTCAGTCCAGTCTGACCTTGCTCTTGCGTGGTCTTCCTGCTAGTGCATTCCTGCTGCTCTGAGTATCCTGATCCTGTGTATGACCCGATCCTGGCTGACATTCTCCTCTGGTTCCTGCTCCTGGCTTGTTCCTGACAACGCTGATTTCCTGGCTCCTGCATCTGGCTTGTTGCTGACTACGCTGATCTCTGTGTTCCTGACCTGGCTTGGACGACTACCCACTCCGTCTCCTGACTCTGGCTTGTTCCGGTTTATGATTCTGCTTGCTCCTGTGGACACTGTTCTTAATAAATATTTTAACTAGCACCTTTCGCTTGTCTGGTTTTCATTGTGCTCTGACAATGTCTAATAATTCCAGAGAACAAAACCCTATGAAAATGAGAAGTCAAAAGCTAGCCCTCTCAAACTAAATGAAACATATTAAAATGTTTAAATTTCAAGCCTGTTTAGAAGGAGGGCAAGGTATTATTTAGCAAGAAATGGTCCAGTATTTCAACTGGTTAATATCACTCAATAGGCTAATGTGAATGGGGTGGTCACATAATGACAAATGATAATATGAAGGAGTCACTTGCAAGTCTTGGCATTTGTGGAGATCTTGTATGATGGATAGGGATTACATAATTATGGATGACTCAAAAGGATGGAGGATGGGATATCAGGTGACCGACAGAAGTCTCACCCTTGACATTGAGCAGAGTAAAGTGATGCTCCGCACTGGGGTCAGGTGCAAGTCTGAAGTAGAATCGATGCCCCCCCATTGGCTCATCTCGATCCACCACACTGATAGTCTGAATGAGCTACGGCACAGGGAGCAGACATTATTTTTAGAAATGTGGAATGGGTACAATAACTCTAATGTACACAAATTGTAATGCAGTACTTACATTCAGTATATTTATTCAGATTAAAAGTGTTCCTACCTCACATTACATTTATAAGCACGAAGCTACCCATCTCCTTCTAGTGTATCTAAAGCCCAAACAACTTTCTTTTAGTTTTAGATAGAGGACAAAGAGTTAGAGCTTCTGTCAGATTTATTACTGACTGTGTCCTGCTTTGGGGCATTAAGTCTTTCAATTTGTCCTGGTGACCACTGTCAACAGGATTGAAAGTGATGGGACATCCAAAATTTTGAGTTGTCACCAGAACAGGAGGGGAGATATTTCAGTAAGAACACTTCTGACAATGATCTTAGAGGGATTTACCTCACTTAACAGAGATTTATTTACATTTCCTGTTGTGTTTACAGGACAGGAAATTAAGGTAAATCTCTTGACGGCAAAAAAACAAAACATTTCCTACTAAAAAAAAGTTTTTTTAAATTTAAATTTAAATATTGTATAACTTGGCCATCTAAATTCAATTGACTAAAGTTTTTTTTATTGTGTTCTGATTCAAATAACACCACATTTCTGAAATACGGTGACTTGCTGCAAACAAGTTTATTTAATAAGGCAATTCAATGTGCAAAGTCCAATACACCTTAGCAACCAAGAGTAATTCATCAATCCACAGTAAATTGAAATCTGATTGGATAGCAGGGTAAATTAAAGTGACACTAAGCTCAGGAGTTAAATCTAAAAAAAAAGTATCTTAACTATTAGCAAACATTTTGCTTGTTTGTGTATCACGTAGCTGTAGATTCTCAAATCATCTCTGAATTGATGCTGACACTGTCCTTCCTTCTGGAGGGTGGCTACTTTTGTTCTCCATGGTCCTGTGTGTGTTGTACAGTAGACACCACTCCAAGCTCCCTCCCATGATGGACTACAATCTCAATACAAATATAGTAAACTAAACATGAGAGTGTAGTCCATCATGTGTGCGAGCTTGGAGCGGTGTCTACTTTATAACACACCATGGGGAACAAAAGTAGCCCCCCTCCAGAACGAAGGACAGTGTCGGCATCAATTCAGAAATGATTTGAGGATCTATAGCCGAGTGATAATTTTTGTTAATAGTTAAGGTACTTGAATGCATTTAAAGATTTACCGCCTGAGTTTAGTGTCACTTGAAAAGCACTTGTGGCAACAATTTTCAAACATGGCTTTGCAAAGAGAAGATAAGGAAGACTGTCTAATCCTAAGGTGTTTTTAGTGATGTGAGTATGCCTCTTAAGGGAAATTAATGGGATACCAAACCCCTGAAGAGGTATGGCCACACCATGTGAAGCAGCTGTAGGGTCAGATAGTCTTCCTTGTGATTTCTTATTCTCTGTGTAAAGCACATTGCTGAGAGCAGTGTGGAAGTCTCTGGGCTAATGTATATTGCTTTTCATTGCCTTTCTAACTGCCTTATTAAATATAAAATATCATATATAAGAGATGTTAGTTTTGTAGAGCTGCTTTGTTTCAAGTGATCCTAAGTTACCAAAATAGAAATAATTTGATCATGTAAAAGAAGAAGTATAGATTACTAGTAGTATATTCGTGTGGTAAATCAAATATTTGACATACCACCTGCCAGAAGTAAAATCCTTCTTTTAAAAGATTGATATCTTTCTATTTTATTAACATAGAAGGAGCGCTGTAAAATATATTGAATAAATGACATTCCAGAGATGTAAGCATTCAAGTAATGACCCGGCAACCGGATGAAAAATTCCTGCATTGCTAGGTCGATTCAGGTAAGTTTGCAGCTATGGGAACCAGTAAGCAAACGTTTTAATCTACATGCTTCTCCCTGGTCAGTGACTCAAAGTTATGAAGTCAGAGACATACAGGTACATAGTATTCTTAGTTCAATGTCAACAATAATTCACTCTACAGGTGCCCTTTAATGTTCTAGTTAAGAGTGCTCTGTTTACAATTAACATATATGTAAAGCCAAATTTTTGTTTTTTAGTTTTGGACAAATACAGAGAACAGTTAAAAACCTGGTAAGGTTTTCTTTCTTTGTTTCTGTGTCCAGTCAGAGAGATTTCACCTGAAACTTCCTATGCTGGAGACACAGCGAGAAGTAAGAGGCGATCGCTCCAAATCAAGGGGTTATCTGCCCAAACTAGTTGTCACCATAACATGTTTACCCATTGGAAGATTTCCCCTTACATCCTGTTCCTGTGACACAAACATTTTGGGTTTCCCTTTATTTTCTGTACCAGGGACAATGATCACCGGGAAAATAGAGAAAGTGCATCTCCCCGGCACAAACACAGTCAACAATAAAAATCTAACAGAGTATTAACTAGGGATGCACCGATACCAAGTACCATACTCGGTACAAGTACAAGTACAGATACTTTTTGAGCTCCAAGACTAGAGAAAAATTCAGTTAGGAGGCAGCTGTCATTTGTAAGGAGCACACGGAGCTCTTGAGATTTGTACATCTCTGTTTTAATGTATGATTTTGTTTTTATCAATATAAATAAAGTGATGCACCGATACAATTTTTGCAAGTACAAGTACTGATATTTGCCCAAGTACTCACAGATACAAGCGGAGTGGGGAGGGGGGAATCCAGCCCCCCTCCTGTCACGGCAGAGAGCCGTGACAGGATCGAGAGGTGAGCGAACGCTGGTATGTGTTCGCTCACCTCCCAATCTACTGAGCCGACCTGTGACAGTCTCATTGTCACAGGTCGGCTAGAACTATGAGGTGAGTGAACAGCACTCACCTCATAGTTCTACTTTAACTAGACACAAGTAACTATGGTGGAGGGGTTATAGCATGATGTCTGTAAAGGTTCTCATTTATCCAGGTCATGGTATATCTTTAAAAAAATAAGTCAAGCAACTGGACTTGCTGTATTTTTCTTGAAGAGGTTTCACTGGTCATCGGACCAACTTTCTCTTATAGCATTATAGGTTATATAGAATTAGATCTCTTCTGGTACAACATCTATACTTTTTTAACTGACATTCACTCTCTTCAGGGGAGTAATAATGATAAGTGAAAGTACAGATCAACATTGCTACTTCAAATCCAAACCATCTCGAAATGTGTTTGTGCCAGGTGAAAATATCTTTTAAATGAAACCTAAAAGCTTGTTGATGTATACAAGTGATCCTTCCATTTCACTTTTGGGGCTGTTGCGCATTACCTGCCCAGGTAGAGCGTCCTCACAAACAGAAGACTCATGAGGTGTAGCCAGCTCCGGAGGATTGTCGTTTACATCCAGGATGCGAATTTGCAGGGCGAGTGATGAAACCTTCTGAGGGTCATCTGTAAAGATTACACATAGCAATGATAAGTGATTCTCTGCTGCAGATGAGCGAGCTTCCTAGAATTTGCTGTGAAAACCAATCACCCAATCTGCTCCTTTAATCTTTCATGGCTGAAGAAAACCCCCTACTATTTTGAACAATGCAGTTATAGACTTTTAAACTTTTTTTTAATTTATAGACATAATGCTCCTTTTTGTCCTCTCACACATTGTTCACCATATTTTGTACTGCACACACTATATAATTTAAAGCTGGCAGCTATAAAAGACACACATTAACGCAGCTCTGTAATCATCAATACAGCACTAATGTATTTTTTCTTAAATGCAAGCAGTGTAATATCTGAATTTGACTTGGAATTAGCCTCTTGCAGTCTACTGTACCCTCTGCACAACAGAGCTCCGAGAGGGGGAGGAAGAAGCAACACAAGGAGCCAGTCAGGTGTGCTCCAGTGCAAGGAGCGATGTTTATGGAAGAAGGGGGCAGAGTGACAGAGAGAAGAGCTTACCAGTGTGCTGCTTCTCCTTACGCTGTCCAGTCTTGGCGTGAGGGTGGGGAGGGAGGGGACCTGTGTGTGAAAGTGAAACTGTAGCAAAGAAGAGTCAGGTCCCCAGGTGCTAGTAAGGATTGTGTTGTGTGGTACTGGATGGACAGATATGCAAATCCTTTTGTAGATAAAACAGTTCCCTTATATGTATTAAATCTGTGTATTCAGCTGTTTGCCTGGATTGCCGCTCTGTAATAAAAGGGAGAGGTGTGTTTTCCTGAAGCCTGCAGGGTAAATCACATGTTTTGCCATTGTCCTTTTTCCGGTCATTTACAGGGCATTGAGCAAATGGGGATTTTCTTTTGCATATTTCTTTGCATCAATGGAGATAAGTAGCACCCAGCATGGCATGGGAGGTTTTTTGCATGGGGAATTAATTGAAGCTGTACAAGCAAGAACAGCAATTAGGATGAGAGAGTGACATAAACTGAAGAAAAGAAATGGTAGCCTGGGGCAGGTGCAGGGAGTAGTAATCATTGGTGATGGATCTTTTCAGCAGTAGAAGAACATTGTTTTATGTTGAGGTTCATCTTTTGACAACTCCAGGAAAAATTAGGGTGCTCTTGGGGTGACAATGCTGCCTGCTGTTGTTATTATTCTTTCCTAATGGGTGCTCAGTGGTGGACAAAGGCACCCACATGGCAAACTGGTGATACATTGCCGCAGCTGATTTTCTTCAGCACTACCCCTTCCTGTTATGTCTCCTCTTTGTCACATTAAGACAATTCCCAATGCCTCTTCCAGATGTCTACATCACCTTCATCACACATCAAAAGTAATTGTATTGATGGTATTCCTAGAGACTAGCGCTTTATTGCCTCTAGAACATCCCACCGAAAACAGCAGTTTGACTGTCAAAGCTCTTTTCTCTTGCATCACACTGCAAATTCTGCAAAGCACACACAGTATCTGCTTTTGCTCTTTAAACTAAACCTATACTGAGGAAAACATACTGGCTGCCATTGCAGACCTCCTTCTCAAAATACTATAGTAGATACCTGGCTGTATCTGGCTTTAATATTCTTAGTCAAACACCAAGAACAGGAATGCAGCAGGTTAAGTCAACACAAAGTTAGAGCTCTTGCATACTTGTTCCAGGTCAGTGCCTCAGAAAGTATTAAAGCCACTGGATCCATTTGGTGTTGGTAGGGGTGAAGTGGTGGTGGTGGGGGGGGGCATGCACCCTGGGTGCTGCTTTGGGAGGGGTGCCACTGGTTGTGTGGATGGAGAACTTCTCCCTTGGAGGGGGGGAGCAACTCTGGGCCTTTGCCCCGGGTGACAGAATGTCTGGCTTCCCCATTGAATGTGGGCAACTAGCACTTTTAGAGGAAGGAAACGCCAACTGGCATATCGTCTCAGTATAGGTTTCCATTAGGGCAAATTGAAACCTATCTACTGTAGTGCGTTATGTTTACCGCACATGTCAGTGCATTGTGGTACCATTCATTTTCAATGACACTACAACACACTGAAGCAACCCAGCAATAAAGCACATGCATTGCAGCGCACCACAATGCATAGTAATGTAATACTGTAAGTTGGGGTGTGCTGCATCAGAAAATGATGCATGTCCAATTTGTGGTCCATGTTGGTGCATTGGCATCCAATTCAAATGAATAGGCTGCTTTAACACAATGAACCTTAAAGCCCAATTAAACTTTCGGTTTGAATTATCTAAATACATTCCAGGTCCATCAAACCAAAGGGTATTCAAAGTTATACAGTTTGATTTCTTTAAATAAAATAAAGTCAGAAGAGTAGAAAAGCCTGTCACCTGCCAGCATGCTGCAGAGTGGGTGCCTTGCTCTCTGCGATGAAGCAGTAGTCTTTCTGAAGAATTCTGATACACCCCTGCTGTGTCAGAATTCTCCAAACAGCAGAGAGCAAGAGGTTTGCTGACTGCAAAGCTATAGGTCTGAAGGGGACTTGTGCTTTGACCATTCAGAGCAAAGCAACAGGTTTGTAATAATCCTGTCCTCCCCAGCAGCATATACTCACTTTTCTTTTGTTCCCTTGTTGCTTTGTCCAGGCACTTGGCAATTGTTCCAATACTGTAGGCAGGTAGACAGTTCTAAGCTTTACTGCAACAAGAGCGGCACACAACTAATGCAAGGCTTTCTTTCCTCACTTCCAGTGGCTGAACAGAGCAGCATGGGAGTGTGGACGAAAGGTCAGTAAGTGCTGCCCTTTGGGCAAGGGTGGGCATTAACTTGAACCTGTTGTTTTGTCCTGCATTGGCAAACATAGCTTGACTTTACCTGTAACTTATTTAAAATGAGATGGTGCTCAAAGGAAGAATACATAGATGATATGACAAGTACTGGTTGTACTCCTGGCTGAGCACGGGAACAGAAAAGTAGCCAGATACATCATCCTTCTGGGATTGTAAAGACGAATGAGCCATCCAGTTCACAATATGAACAGCATGGCTGGGATGAATCACTCTGCTGATGCTGCAAACAGTTTTAGAACTGTAGCCCTTTCTTACTAAGAACACTAAGAATATGCTGAAGCTACGTTTGTTACCTGCCCTTGACAGTTATCCCTCAGAGCCATATTTCTTTCTAGATGATGGCACTTTTGAAAATGGCCAGCTGCTCCAAAGTATCACATATATTTTATACTTTATTTGATAGTCTGATTGTTAGAGACACCCAAGAGGAAGAGTTTATTTTTCACTGCTGCCTAATACTTACAGAATGGTACACTTGTACCTTTTGTTAAAATAACTTTTAAGGAAAAAGGAATGCACATAGACAGTATTTATTGATTACAGTAATAGTGTGTGTCTATGCACTGCCTAGCCAAAAAAAAGTCACACTATTTTGTTGGATTGCCTTTAGCTTTAATTACAGCATGTATTCAATGTGACATCCTTTTGATAAGCTTATGCAAGGTCACAACATTTATTTCCATCCAGAGTTGCATAATTTTTTCATCAAGATCTTGTAGTGATGATGGAAGAGTCAGATCACTGCGTAATAGACATGTGCACTGCCAAAAAATTCGTTTCGTTTCGTTTTAAATTCAGATTTGTGTTATTTCGTTTTTCAGGATTCGGGTGTGAAAGTCAATTCGGATTCGGAATCGGACGAAATTCGGGAGCGTTAGTACGAACGTTCGTTTCGTTTTCTGTTCTTATTCGTTTCGTTCGTTTGCAGCAAAAGTGACATTTGAGGGGGAAAAAATATTTTTCTCCTTCTCTGTCACTTTGCTCCAACGAACGAAACGAATAAGAAACGAATAAGAACAGAAAACGAAACGAACGTTCGTGCGAACGCTACCGAATTTCGGAAATGGAAATTCGGATTCGTTTGCATTCGTTATGTCTGTAATTCGGAATTCGGATACATCCGAATGTCCGAATTTACGAAAATTCGTCCGAATTTCGATTCGGAACGAAACGAATCGCACATGTCTACTGCGTAAAGTCTTCTCCAGCACATCCCGAAGATTCTCAATGGGGTTAAGGTCTGTAGTCTGTGGAGGCCAATCCATGTGTGCGGTCTCATGCTCCCTGAACCACTCTTTCACAATTTGAGCCCGATGAATCCTAGCATTGTCATCTTGGAATATGTCCGTGCCATCAGGGAAGAAAAAATCCATTGATGGAAAAACCTGGTCATTCAGAATATTCAGGTAGGCAGCTGACCTTGTTTTTGGACACATAACGTTGCTGAACCTAGACCTGACGAACTGAAGCAACCCCAGATCATAACACTGCCCGAAATCCAGGTGGTGACTTTTTTTGGCCAGGCAGTGTATATAAAGTCTTCCAAAAATTATCAGCATATTACCAGATCAATATGATTAAAATTTTTTTGCTCATCCTTATTTTATCCTTTTTAATGCAATACATAATAGGTGCACTTTAACAGACAAGGTGCTCAGGGATAAAAAGAAGCATTTCAATCCACCTAGATCTTGATGACACACACATTTTGTGGGTGAACTGCCCTGAACTCAAAAAGTGAAGATTTGCTATGTTATAGGCAACATTTAAAATGGTTAATTGTGCCTAAGCAGTTCACTGAAAATGTACCTTTTGTCTGAAATTTCTCCTAAAAATGGTAGTGCATCTTCTGGTATGTGAGAGTGCCTAGGAGTGAGATTTGGTGATGTCACTTCTGGGCTGCTCACTGTTCTCCTTGCAGGAGGCTCAGGCACAAGAAAATGAAGCCCTGCATCTGCAAGGTCCGCCTTCACACATGGATAAAGTGCAGAACAAGGCATGGCAAGTCAGTAATGAGGAAAACATCAGCCGCAGAAAGAACACAGGCAGTACTGGTGGCAAGTCCTTTACCCTCTGCATGCCTATTTTAGGCAAAACCTCCAGAGCCCAGTCCCTCTTAAAAGATTTTCCAACTGTTTCTTAACCTAGTGGCTGGAAAATGTTTTTGGATACAGTCATTGCCCAAACAGAAACAATGATCTGTGACTACAGTATATATTTCCCTTTTTCTTTTTTTTTTTTATTGTAATTGTAATTGCATCTGAAAATTTTGATTATCTATGACCAGCAATAGTTAGAAAGAACTGTAATAAGCACCAAATATAGAATAATAGCAGACCATTAAAATGGATACATGACACTGACTGGTACACCGACGGAGATAAAATAAAGACATAAGAAAACCTGCTTCAATTGCCTGAACAGTCAAATTGTGCCAGCCAGAGGTCTCACGGTCCAAGGGTTTGGTTATCCTAACTTCACCAGTCTCTTCATCAATTTCGAAAATTCCATCATCTGATGATTTGTCCAGGATATACCTGGGGGATTAAACACATTTAGAAGTTACACTTCTGAAAGAATGAGGGAAAAGAATAAAAAAACTAATGAAAAATATTTTCTAACAACCAGTGCCTACTTGACCAATCGCTTCTGGTTCTGTGCAACCAGTTCTTGGTTAGCCCTTAGTTTTCCCTGAGAAAAATGGCTGCTGAACCCGGCACTACATGACCATAAGCACTGAGTTTGAAATTACTTTTCTGCTTGGTCACTGTCCCATCTACTGACACACGCCTGAACTCTTTCTTTAGCTAGTAACACTGCACTCACCCTCCTTAGAATTGTTAGAGTGAAAACACCACAGCAAAGATTCAGGAGTTTAAAGGTATTTATTTCATCATAGTCCAAAAATAACAACCCAATGTGTATCAGGGGTTATGACATTCCCCCTTCATCAGAGCTAAAAGGGTTTTAAACAATGTGCATGTATGTAATAACACTAAAAGAAAATGGTTGTTATTTATGTGCGCTGCGCAAACCGTTGGCATTATATAAATCCTGTATAATAATAATAATACATACACATTGTTTATATTTCATTAGCCCTGATGAGGGGGGACATTATAACCCCTGAAACGCGTTGGGTAGTTATCTTTGAATTGAGTTAAATACTTTTTGGCTCCCATCAAACATTTGTATAACTGTGCACACAACTGTAAGACTACAATATTACCACTTACCATATGGTAAATGGGGATCTTGTAGTTTTTAGCACTCTGTATGGTTATATACATGTTGATGTTTGCTAATGGGATTTATTATCATACACGTAGATAAGGAGAGCACAGAATATTGCTTGCCTGCTCTTGGGCTGTTTAACTTTTGGCTTGGCTCTCTTATTTTCCCTTCTTCCTATATTCCCATATAGAGGAATATACTTCCTACATTCACCTGAGGCATCCCTGAGGCCTCTACTTGTTAGAGAGCTGTCTAACCATTAGAGCCATTATACTCAACAGTGTAGACTTATCTTCACACTATGGATCCAGCACCTCTGACCCACATATTATAAAATATTAGAGAAAGATTTGTTCTCGTATGAAAATATCTAAAGCCAATTCGTTTTCCATAGAGTAGAGAAGGGTTAGAGCCTCTGTCAAGTTTTTATTGCTGTCTGTTTTCCACTGTGGAGATTCATTCTTTCTATTTGTCATGGAGACCATTATTACGGGGCAGAAATTGGTATGAAATATATGTGGTTGACTCTAGAACAGGAGGTTAGGGAAATCTTACAAATGGGACACCTGTTCCAGTGTCAACTTTGTAACATATTTCCTTTCTGTTGTGTCCTTGGGACAGAAAGTAACATTTTATTTCTCTAATAGGACGGTAACCCCAAAAACAAACATTGACAAGGATTTTAATAATTTCCTTCACTATCCATAACTATAAAGTTTTGGTCTTTAATTTTCTTTGTTATTATACATTAACAAATACAATCTGCCTTTGTAATAGCTTTCCATATTTTCCCCACACAGTTGTCTGAGAAACGGAAGGCACATAGTGTGAGCCATACAGTGCTGCTAGTCTAGCAGTAGGAGCTGGTTTAGAGGAGAAGGAAGAACCACATAAGTAAGCTATAATGTACCAGAACTCCCTTACAAACATATATGTGCAAAAAGCAATAAAGTGCAACTCTTACAAACTGCAAGTTTAAATTATACATAGGATATATCAATCCTCCTTTATATGCACATCACAACAAGCAACAAGTAATTTGTGCTTCCAAGTGTATGTAGACTCTGCACAAAAAATGTAATATACAAAGTAAAATACATAGTAGCTAAGGTTGACTAAAGACAAGGGTCCATCGAGTTCAACCTATGTGTGTATGGGTGTATGTGATCATGTATCTGTATTTATATTGCTTTAACACAGCCCATTTGTTTGTATATGAAGTGAAATAAGAAACTCATCAAGAAGTTTCTTGAATTTATTAATGCCTAAATGTGTTAGGTCCCTTTTTACGCGGGCTTTTCGATCAGGTCCGTCTGTTCGTTTTTCAGGCAGACCTGATCGGAAGCCCAATGTTAGTCTACGGGCAGCCGGATCTACATGGACGGGGGCGTCTGTTTACATTCGGTTAACCCTGGCTCCGGCTAGGTCTGGAAAAACAAATGGATAAGAGATCTGTTTCGCCGGACCTGAACCAGATGTAAACGGATGGCCGTAACTTCTCAGTCCCTCCCAGCGTGTTGACACCACTGACTCCGCCCTATGCGCATGGTCCTAAGACTTTCCCATATGACACTTGTCTTTGCATATGAAACCTTAGAAGAATTCTGTTTAGAGATTAATAATAGCGCCAGACTTCTATACTGTATATGAGATATTTGTATAAGTATATGGTGCTTTTTAGTGTTGGCAGCAGTTTAGGGTGTGAGTATTAATCAGGGTTAGTGCAGTGGTAATTTTTTTTCAATTCACATAAGTAGGATGCTGCTCGTTCATTGTCCAGTCATCTCACTGGGGAGGTGAACAAGGAAGCAGAACTTAGTCAGCTTTTTTAACCTACAGTCACCCATCAGATGGGTATGTACCATTTGGGTGAGGGTTGCTAAACTGTGCACTTGGAAGATATGCGTGTTTTTCTGATCATATGTGGCTCTGGAACACTGTAGTTTGGGATGCCCAAAAGGAGAATTCTTGGATGCTCTGATCTGTTGTATATAGAGCAAGCATTGCCATCAAGCACATAATTAGTAGAACATATTTCACGTTTAGTTCAATATATGAACATATAATGTTCTGCTACATTTACAAGCTTTTTAAAAATCCAACTACAGTTTTATTAAGGAATGTTAACTTTATGTTAAAACCCTTAAATAATAAATTGGAAATCTAACCACAGCAATTACTATATTAAAACAGTATAATTATTTCCAATGAAATGAACTTCAAGGTTCAGCTACAGACATTATTAAAATGCACATTATGTTCTTTTTATAATCAAAATATATACCATATAAGAACACACAGCCAAAATGACTCCAGAAACACATTAAGTCCTTCAGATACAGAAAAAAACAGTTGGAACATTTGCTCCTGATATCATTGGTGGTTATTAATAAAATGCTGTTCCAAATATATATAACTTCTCTTCATCATATAAAAGATGAAATGTACATAGTAATGCAGTGACAAAGATGTGCATGTATAAACAAAATATGCAAGATTCAGAACAAGATATGCTTAGTGGTCTATTTTGGTTCTCAGCCTGCACACGCTTGCTAAACTCATACAGCTGGCACATGGTTAGTCATGTATGCAATAAAGTATATACAATATTCAAATGAGGTGCCACAGCCAGTGCAAGTGGGGCACATTCATCAGGGCCATTGAGCTAGGTTGGGGGGTTTCCTTCACCACCCTACTTACCATATTTCTCTAATTAAAAAAGAAAATTCCACACACTAACACAACCCGCCCACACAGTGTACCACAACACTTGGCATATGCGTTTTGGTGTACTGCATTCGAAAAAATGGTGGCATGTGTTATGGTGCATAGGCAAACCATTTAAATTAAGGGGTGCCTTAATACACCACACAAGAATGTGTGGGCTCTAAAAATATAATTTCTCTGGTGCTCTCAGAGCCATTAAAATTCAAGTGTAAACTCTACTACCTGCAGCTGCAGTATGTGTATGGTTTAGGTCATTTATATGCATTCAGAACAGAGACCAGGGAGTAGACTGCTAGATGGCTGCAACCAATCTCCTTTCAGCTGTATGGGCACCCAACCAGTATTTCTGTCTAGTGACACCAGGGGCAGATTTACCATTAGGCACATCGCCCTGTGCCAATAGGGGACAGAGGCAGCTTCTTCCTCAACAGTTATTGGTCACACATTTTCATCTGTGTGCCAGTAATGGAAATCAAGCCCTGAGTGACAGGAAGTGTGCTTTGCTCAATTAAATGGCCAACTTTGGCTCTCAGTAAACAGATGTGAGTTTCAAGTACACCTACGACAGAATAACTAGCTGGCTGCCCACTTATCTGAGGTAAGTGATTCCAGTTCCTCAGCTGCCTATTTGCTTAATAAGATGACAGATTTATGCAAGACGATTTCTGATCGGTTACTGTGGGCACTGAATTGGGAAATAGATACAAATGGGTTCAGTATGTGGCTAAGACATACTTTCTCATAGTTGACTTTTCTACAGTTCTATGCTACTGTATATATACATTCTACCTAAACTCAGTAACACTGGAAAAACTTAAGTTAGTGCCTATCTGTCCTATCTATCCTGTACCACCATACAGGTCTAATCTGCCAATAGCTAATATAGAAGCCATTTACTGGCATTCATCTATTATCCTCTTTTCTAGTTTTGATGTTCAGCATTGGAGTTTATCATGTTTGCCATAGATAGACATGGGCGTTACAGGCAACTACAAGAACTCCTAGCAGTATGTAACTTTCTGACCTCATCATGTCTATGCTAGAGAAGACAATATGGACAGAAGGCTGTGAGGGAGCATTCTGTGAGAATGGGCTATAGAAGAATGTGATGTCACCCAAAGAAGCTGCATTTTAAGCAGCAGATGTTTTTGTCTCAGCCAACCTGTGTATAGAATCACAATTAGACAGCCACTATTCTCAATTTGCATGGTTATATACTCTATATGGCCACACTTTTGTGGACACTTGACTGTGGCACATATTTGAGCTTGTTGCACACCCCATTCTTAAATCATGGCCATTAATATGTCATTGGTACTCTTTATGGGATTTATAGCCTCCACAGCTCTGGAAAGACTTTCAATATGATTTGGAAGTTTGTCCATGGAAACTTCTGCCCGTTCAGCCAAAAGAGCATTTGTGGGGTTAGGTATTGATTTTGGAGGGGTGGAACTGGCTTGCAATCAGCATTCCAATTAATTCCAAAAGTGTTTAATAGGGTTGAGGCCAGGGCTCTGTGCAGGTTACCCAAGTAAGTTTTATAGCATGTTTTTATGAATCTGGCTTGTAGGAACAGAAAAGGGCCATCTCCAAAATGTTGCCACAAAGTTGGAAGTGCAAAACTTTTTAAAATGCCTTTGTAGGCTGTAGCATTAACCGTACCCTTCAATGGGAAAAACAGAACTCAATTATTTGGAGGAATGCCCACAACAAGGGTTGTGTTGACAAATACAGGGACCATCAATAGATGCTATCACACCAACCAACAAAATACCTGACTGAGTTGTTGGCTTTATCTGGATCGCTGGCTGTAATGACCACAACCACTGATCCAATGTGCGCATCCTCAGAAACTTCGATGACCCCATTTAATGAGTAAAACTTAGGAGGTTCATCCACATCCAGCACTGACACCTTCACAATTGCCTGATCCCGAAAAGTGCCCAGATCTGAGAAGCGAGGATCCACAAACCGGTTCTGGGCTTCTAAGACCAGAGAGTGCTCTTTCTGCGTCTCAAAATCCAGAGGCTGCAAAACAAAGACAAAGTTCTAAGGGTAAACCCAACATTCCAGGACCCAATTTTGCTAATAATGTGAATAAAAATGAACGAGTCAACACAGCAAGAGAAAAAGAAATGGAAATACCAATTAGTCAGTGTATAAGTTACTTATTTGAAAATGAATGCTCTGCAAATTCCTGCAAACATTCTAGAATATGCTTATTAATGATAGCTCTGTAATTACTTTTAGATAGGAGAAGAAAGTTCTTCAGCAGGGGAATTTAAATGATGTGTGATAAATAGAATGGAGACTCACAGGCTCTGTTCTCTTGACCATATCTAAGAAAGTTAATAATGGTAATTGGGATCACATCCATTAACTTCAGTACCTAACATATTGCACAAATTAACTTAAAGAGGAAGCATAGTGGATTTTCAGGGGGCACATATTTTTAGTTATTGCAGCATCTACTTTCATCATTTCTGATGCGACTTTACCTTTGCTCTTCCATATTATTAATATTGTATTTAATGTAGAGGTTGTAGATCAACCCCTAAAGAGAGCTCTCAGTGGCACAGGGTATTTACTTTTTCTCATTATTATTATATGTTGACATAAGATATCTGCCACATAGGGAGTGCTTTGTTTTCAATGAGTCAGTTGACGCCCATCCATACGACTGCTTAAAAAAAAAAAGATTTATGAACCACAACAATGTGCTTTATAGATGTGCTTAGAGCTCTGCCAGGTTTGAGAGTCTGAAACCAGTAGAGAACTAATAAATGAATAGAGAGAGAAGTGAAAAACAAAAAATCCAAGAGGAGAGTCCCATCACGTGACCTGTCAAAGTCACATGACTGGCTTTTCGCCAATCACCGAGCTCTCACTGCTGCGTTAAGCAGAGAGATCTTTGTAAACTACTGCAGGCTCCACAATGGAGGTTGAATTTTATGAATGAGCTGTAAAGGGCCACGGTATATGGAGCCCTGTGGAGTATAACCGAGAGCGAATAGCAATATCTGCTCTCCTATACAAATTGGCCTCACACACTCACATTGTGAGAAAGAGCAGTAAGGGCCATTTACACATAGTGCGCTGTGGTAACACGTGTGGTAACATTTGCTTTACTGAAGTGCACTGCAATGCATGCAATTTCATTCATTTTGAAAACCTCCCCCAAAAAACGTATTTTCCAACACACCTACCAGCTTGCCTGCAAAACCAAGGAAAAAAAAACAAACAAAAAACAAATTACACTGTCTAACACTTTGCATAAAAACAGAGGTTTTAGTTGCACACCATTTGCAAAATATGTGGAAGCCACACTACCTTGTCAAGGCTCCTCTGTGTAGTGTGGTCCCTTAGGGCCTGTTCACATGAGATCAGGTCCTGATCAGGTCCTGATCAGAAGACGTGGAGCTGCTGATGCATTGCGTTTTTGGCCGCGTTTTGGATGCGTTCCAGCAACAACAAAAAAACTGCTGTAGTGGGGCTGTTAGTATGTTAGCTGCAGCGCAGTGCGTTTTTGAAGCGTTTTTGACGCGTTTGCGTATCCGTTCCGTTTCCAGACCTGACAAAATGTGACATGCAGTATTTTTTCTGTCGTAAGCTGAACGGACTGTGCACGTGAGAACTGGAGCCCATAAAACACATAGGGATACATTGGGATGCATTTTGAGTGCAGCAGCGTACGGAGCCGCTCAGCACACAAAACGGACTTCGTGTGAACAGGCCCTAATGCTAAATCTATGAGAGCCTCCATCTTGGAGCATGCATCGCAATGGATAAATTGAGGGCAGGTATGCCTGGAGGTAGCTTATTCCTCCTTGTCATTCTTTTTGAAATGCACATATGCGCTGCAGTGGAAAAAAACAAAAACAAATACAGCAGGAGCAATTTTACCGGTTTTAGGTCCATTCAAAATGAATGGACAGCACAAACACAGCATGTTGCAACACATGACGTATTGCAGTCCATGTGTATAACAGCGACATTATATTGTGACGTTGAGGGGGCTGGGACTGTGAATACTTCAATGCTATGTGTAATTTGTTGTAGGAAAAGAAAAGTGTGCACTATATAAATATGTATAACCAATGAATACTGGATCATCTGAACAGCATATGCTACAGACGTTTAATTCTTACAGATGGCTGTATATGTCACGCATATCCCCTGCAAAACTTGATGATCAAATTAATAGTATCAATAACGTTTGGAAACAAATTATGTTGCAAGTGTTTATTACATTCAGCCTAATATTATATGGGAGGCTGCACTTAGTTTTATAGTTTATACATGTAGAGTTAGATGCCTGAACTCTTACTTATGGGCCCATACATGTACAAAGGCTTTACTAGGATACTTGCCCACCTTTTCACACCCAACATGATCTCTACCACAAGGCTGGCAGGTAAAGGCAGAGCACAGGAGGTTATCACTTTGGCTTAGCTCATGGCAGAGAGAACACTTGGAAACTCTCCATGTGCAATGAGAACATCTGAAAGAAGTTCTCATTATCGTGCTTTAAAAAAATCCTACACTGCCTGATCTTCTCTTTGTCATTGATGTTCCTTGAATCTGGGACACGTATGATCAACCCAACTTGCATTTTAGATTCACTGGTTGCTCAAAATATTGCAGCTTTTAGAATCCAGGCCATATGAAGAAACATTACCCTGAAATAAAGCTAAAGGAATGATGTTTCCAGGAGAGTAACTACAGTATATGTGATGGGACAGCATGACATATGTAATGCAAGCTGCATCTAGGAAGCACTAGGCTATGAAGCAAAAGTTCTGTGTAAGGTTTTGATGGAGACAGACATTCCTTGATTCTAATGCCACTTCATACTTCCAAGGCAGATGTACTTTCAAAAAGTCATGTGCATTATAAGTAATAGCCTCTCCCACTAGTTGAATGCCCTTCCGAGGACTCCTCAGATGAGTACATTTCTGTGAATGTTGGATTCCTGGTCCGCTTAGTGATTCCTCCCACTGACCCCTATGCCACTATGGTGTCCTCATCTCTGTAATTGTTCCAATCAGGGCCGGCCTTAGGTCTTTAGGCGCCCTGTGCGAGAACGCTTTACAGCTCCCCTCAGTGGTGGGGGCGGACGAGGGAGCGCTGTCATATCGGATGGCCAGCGCCCAGCGGTGAGGGGGAGAGAAGCCGCCCCCAGGACGAGCTGTGTCGGCCGCACGGCGCCCTTGTTGCCATGGCGCCCTGTGCGGCCGCACTGCTCGCACACCCCTAAGACCGACCTTGATGATAGGTTTCCTTTAAAGGAAATATGTGCCGATTGAAAAAAACAGGCTGCCTACACTATCCTCCTTCTAAAAAAGGCCAAATTCCTGACGGTCTCTGGCTTCACTACTTACTGAGTTACTGGCATAAAAACAGGCATGCATACAGTAAAATCAAAGTTCAAGACTGGACACTTGATCTGCATTCTTCTTCCAAGTCAGTGATTCTATAGGCACTAAAGCTAGATAATTAGCATAACAGCCAACTAGGTACCATTTTCAGAAGCAGAGGTCAGCAATGGCAAGCTTACATATCTGTGTGAAGGAAACTGTGCCATTTGGAAGAACTTTCTAACACTGCTCTACTAACTAAGTGCAGCCGCCTGGGAACTGCTTCTTTTTAGCTTTAGCCTCAATTATTTAAGCCAGGCCAGGTCAGTGGAGCTGAAAATTAGAGCAGAGAAATGCATATAACAAGGTGAAATTGATCTTGTTGAAACATGAATTTACACTTATAAATTAGTATAGCACAAACAAACAGATATTTTATTAATTGCATTGTTCCCCTGGGTAAAAAAACATCTTCTGGGTCCAGGTATATGGATTTGTTTGGAACAAATAGACATTTTTTTAATGTATTACTGAGTAATCAACCATATAGCCTCCATTGGTGATTAATATTTTAGAGGAAAAAATTCAAATTAGAATCTCTCTGACAGGAAAGACTATATTTAAAAGTGCAGGTGGATGAAGTCTTTTGTAGATAGCGTCCTTCGCTCCACTGAGCTCAATAACTTTTGTAGTCTATTGACCGGCCGTACTGAAGAGCTCCCTAGTTGACCATCAGATATACTGTCAATATCCTCATGGATATACACTATATACACTCCCACAGGTGATTTTTCACATTAATGACCATTGACTCTGAACAGACTCTGGGGATCATTGACCTCAGTTCAATTTGACGCTGCATGTCAATTGACAATTATATGTACGGAAATGTTTTTAGAAGTGAATTTTACTGTTAAGAGGAACCAAAACAGCTGCGACAAGGGATTATATGCAAAGCTTGTGCTCCCAAATGCTCTCAAGGGAACCCAATTTCTGAAAAACCCCAACCACTAGATAACCTTAGGACAGTGGAACCCATCATGGCCATATCTCTTACTGTACTTTATTTCCTTTCCCTTCAAATGTCATTCATTATCATAGAGACCCCCAAATACTTGTGGATTGATGAGGAGTGCTTCCAGGGCCATTGGACAGTAGCTGTGCATCACTTTCTGTCCCCTATAGGGCTTTGGTTTGAGTAAGTGCCTGCCTGGATAATTTGTAGCTCTTCGAATAAGATCATTTGCAGTTCTTACAATAACTTATGTCTGGATCCAAATTTGAAAATATATAGATGAGGCAAGTTTTAAACTAAAGTCAACATGGTAAAGGGTGAAACCTTGGATGCGTCTAATGCGGCTTGACACTGTTGTGTTATACCATTTTTCAATGCATATATATCTAAAAGGTCTATCTAGTGTTAGTAAATACCCAATACATCCTTTTGTCTGTTCTTTTAGCTACAGTCCTATATTTTTTTTTAATTGATTTCTTGTGCCTGCAGAGTACAAAATAACTTGGTCATTATCTGCATTTAGTTCTCTGTAAGTATGCCTTAGAGAGCAGTATGGCCGCTTTGGGTCGTAGTAATACAAAATGCCCATGTTATTTATAGATAACTGTTCGGAGGAAACAACACTATAATCGTTGTGAAAAGTTACAATATACAATTAAATCTAATTTAAAGCTCTACACAACAATTAGTGCAAGTCTGTGTTCATGAAATATACATTTATTTTTTAATCCTATTGTGCTTGAGTCTGTCTTGGTATCATTCTCCGCTAATCTCTGAACAGTAGCACTCTTAAAATGAGAGTAAGGCCCCAGCACTCTTAGCCAGCCTGGTTCTGTTACAATGCACACATTCTGACATGCTGACTGTAAAAGAGGTTTGAATAACATGTGTATATACATGTAAAGTTCCAGAACTGAAGACCCTTTAGGATGAAGATGGTATAGTTGGGCAGCAACATTTGCAAAACGTACAGCTAATTTGCCATTCAGGAATCCTTTAAAAGAAACCAGTATTTGTCATTTGTTGCCAGAAAACAATAGGCTGTACCATGCAGTTATACCATGCTCATGATAAATGTTGGGGAGCACTGCAATCACATGTATGTTCCTGTTCTTTCACATGCCATCCATACACATAAACATACAATCATCTGTAATGATCTTCTCAATGAAAATATTGTCACTTTTAGATATTGTATGGAATAAATGGGCAGTGAAATTAGTCCTTTTCTTTGAACAGGAAAGATGGTCCTGACTGAACAAAAAAAAACAAAAACTATTGAATTGACCAACTTTATCTTTTACTTTGATCAAAAGATCATCAAAAAAGATCAAACCTAAGTATTTGTATTGTTACATGTATGGCCAGAATAATGGGGGATACAGGAGTGTTCCTGGAACTAGTTTTGGGCAGTGTACATACCGTGTTTCCCCAAAAATAAGACACTGTTGAGCTCAAAAAAACACACTAGGTCTTATTTTCGGGGTAGGTCTTATTTTTTTTATAAGTATTGTACAACAATCCAAAATTAATGCAAATCCAAATTAAATAATCCAAAATGGCATAGTTAAGAATAGGGTGATCAGGGCAATCAGGGGTGCCTTTCCAAGAGCAATTTGATAACCAATTGCTGGCCAGAATGAGCGAAGCGTGCTTTCACTATGGATTCCTCACAGGTGGAGTGCATTTGGTATCACTCCGCCTGTTACAGGAGCCGGCGCTGTAGAGGAAGCATCGGCTTATGCAGCTCTGCTCCCCCCGCTGCCGCCTTGCTTCCTCTAGCACTGGCTTAGTTGGCACTGCTGATTCTCTCCCTCGGCTCTTCATGTTTCCTTTTATGCCGCCACCGACCCTGGGAAAGGTCACAACTAGGTCTTATTTTCGGGGTAGGCCTTATACTTTAGCAAGTCCCAAAAATAGTACTAGGTCTTATTATCGGGGTAGGTCTTATTTTCGGGGAAACAGGGTATGTGTCCCCTGCACTCCTTACAGCGTTCACAACCTTTCCATAAGGCTGGGTTCACAGCTAGGCGTATTACGCATGCACGTCTGTCGCGCGACCGTCGCACGATTCCGAAGGCTACTTGGCTGTATCCCAATCGAAAACGCCCTCCAAAACGGCCCAAAGAAGTACATGTACTTGTTTGGGCGTCAGCCGTTTTGTAGGGCGTTCAGACGGGCGGAAATACGGAAAGGTGTGAACCATACCCATAGAAAACAATGGGATTTTCATGGTTGTACGTTTTGTAGAGCGTTCATAGAGCGTTGAACGCCCGACAAAACGGAAAGGTGTGAACGGGGCCTAAAAGTGGTGCTCGCAGTGATGATCACGGAAGGCGCTGTGTACGTCAAACTTGTATAGATGGAAGATCACCAGGACTCAAATCCTTGTGTACATTTATTGTGAAACAGCGTCACATATATCCAAAAGCCAATGTTTCGGGGGCCATGCACCAGCATTCTGTCCATTTTAAAATGGAGTATGGATGGAAGATCACAAGCACTCAAGATTCTGTCAAATCCTTGTGTACATTTATTGGGGTCCCTTCATCGGGGCGACACAGTGACAAAAGAACCCAAAAAACAAAAGAAAACCTTTTTGTTTTGTCACTATGTCGCCCTGATGAAGGGACCCCAATAAATGTACAGAAGGATTTGACAAAATCTTCTGAGTGCTGGTGATCTTCCATCCATACTAGTGGGCAGGGCATTTTTAAATGGACATAAGAGTCTTGGAGAAAGTTCAAAGGGGGTAACTAACTATACAAAAGGTTTTGTGTCACTTGACGTTTATCTAAAGCCTATACTTTATTTTTGCAGTTTTGGATAAAGCGCGCAAGTGTTAAACTCCTGTCAGGTTTTTATCACCGTCTATGTACTCACCATCTGAAATTGTTCTGGTGACTATTCTCAGCATTTTGATCGTTGTCTGAGCTACTGGGAGATTTATCCTCTCTATTTGTCCTGGAACAGGAATAAAGATGTCTGTTCCCATGACAGCTAATGAGGCATTCCCCCCCTCCCTTTGGAGAGATTTCCAGTAACTTCCTTCTTGTTGAGTCTTCAGGATAGGAAGTGAAGGGAAATCTTTAAATAGGATACAAACAGCAAAAAATTTGGGCAAACTCACCAGGGGGGAGGAGTCCGGTGACGTCGATGCCCGTGACGTCACCGGATCTCCGACGGGACTGCCGGAAGTCGGCGGAGAGGTGAGTCTTTTCATTTTCGATCAAAAGAATTTTAATCAATCAAAAAGTTTAAAGATTAATCGAGGAATTAACCGTTAATTTCCCCAGCCCTAATCAAAATACACTAAAACTTAAATTTCTAAAAAAATAATCCATTCTTCAGCCTCCTCCTTCAAAGCATACTGTCTAATTATAGGTGTATTCCTATTTGTGTAAAGACAGGAGCCTTTAAGAGTTAATCTGTTGCTGTATACCTGGGTGGTTTAGTCCAATATTTGTTACTGTTTATGCCACATTACCACAGCTCTGTGTATTTCATCTTCCGCTTTCATCTCTCTAAACCATACCTGAAGAACGCTGAGGATGGCCTCCTGGGTGACTGCATCAGCTGTAACGCTGAACAATGCTGCCATCTCTTGTTGTTGAATCTGATAAAACATGTCTGTGTTCTCTCCCACATCAGCATCTTCAGCTTTCAGTCGTCCAATCACCGAGCCCGGGGGAGCAGTCTCCAGCACGCTGAACCGGTATAGCTCTGCAAAGTGGAGAGAAGGTCTGTAACATATTAATGTCCCCTTTGATCTCATTTCTTTTTTATCCCATTCCTTTTTTAGAGATTTATGACTCGGATGCTCTGTCCCCACTAATGAGTCTTCATACGGTTAAGGATAGGCTACCTGAAATTTCTCATGAATGTCCATTATTTCCTAACATGATTGTTCTTGGAAAAAAATGCATGGACTCGACTATGACTGCCAGCTCCATATGATAAACTGAATCTATTGTAAGAACATTATGTGGACATCTTTGCAACACTTCTGTCACTGAAGGTGCCTAAGAAAAGCAGCAGAATGCTGAATTGTGAATAGACAAAGTAGTAGTTCAAATGTACAAGCCACATCTGAACAGTTCAAGCTGAGCATATGATAAAAAATACATAGCCCGTGGTTACCTTCAGTGAGAACTGTATGTAAAAAGTATCTGCAAATCTAGAGATCTAGGCAGGTGAAGCTATATCCAAATTTCAACTTTCAACTTTTCCTGTGTAATCTGAGAATATCCAACCCACTCCTGAGCCTCCATAGTAGTCAATGAAGCCACTCATCTCATTAAAGGACCAATAAAGAAGCCCAGGAAGTAAGAGAGGGCAAATCTGACTTTTACAGGATCTGCATATTTATTTATTTCCTGTACGTATAAATGTGGCCAGGTAATGGACATTCAACTATTTACATATTCTAAGTCCTCACTGACCCTTGTAGCTGCATGCACTGTGGATCAATTCATCTATAAAGTTCACAGCAGGAGAACTAATGTTTTTCCCTCTCTAGCTCATCTCCCCCGGTTCCTCCTCCCCATCAGTGAGTTAGCAGCCTTTCTTCCATTTTAATTATTGTGGAGAAAAAAGTGTTCTGGGAGGAGTAAACCTATCACCTGACCTAATATGCAGAGAACACACTGCAGTGCATCACAGGCTCCACAATGTGCTCATCATTTTTTAAACAAAGGCATGGCTGCTGGCGTGTGTGCCCGCCACCGTGCTCAAGCGCTAATCATGCCGCATCACAATGTTTCTTTTTTCTGTTAGAACTTTATTGAAATGTCACAAGTGACATTTCATTAAGTTCTGTGGTCACAGAACGGTGCGATGAGGTTGTACCGTGTCACTCTGCGCTGAAAAAAAAGTACTGCATGCCATACTTTTTTTCAGCACACACCGCAACATGGTGGTGTGAACTGCGCCCACCTTGAACAAAGAAAGTTGCCTTGTCTTGCATTGCGGCTGCACTGGAAAAAACGACCAGCACAGCTCCAACGCACTGGGTAGGAATTGGCCCTTAAGCATTTTCATCGATGTTGTGTGGAGTGAGGAGAGGTTTTTATAAATGTTCCTCTTAGTGAAGTACTTTAAACAGCTGGTGCAGAGCCTAGCCAAGATCCTTCAGGATATTACTGTGATTAGTAAAATTCAGAAAACTTGGAGGCTGTGTTGCCTGTTCTCTACTTCCTTATCCCCAACACTAAACTGCATGCCTCCTCTTTATTAGTTCTTTATATTGCTTGCTTTTATTCTAAACTGCAGCATAAAGTCTATATTTATAATGTAAGTTACTTTCAGTGTAATGTTTGCCTAGCATAACCTCTGTTGGAAACTTTGACTGTTAAATTGAGCTTACAATAATTGATTTCCGAGAAATTGCTAGTACTAATATGAACAAAATGACAGACGTCTGATATTGGTAAGGCTAAAGTGTCTTTTTTTAATCTATTATGCAGCTGACTCTCATTATAGTACCTAAAAGGTAATTGATAAAACTGTAGCAGTGAAATTAATTTTGACATATTTAGTGCACACCATATCCCATTTCAACCTAAATACAAGGGTACTTAGCTCAACTGTACCATCGCAAAACCTATATATTATGCTAATTACCTCATCCATATAGGTTTAAAAAAAGACAGTTCAAATTACTCAATTGTGTAGGTAGCCAGAAACTCTTCTCAAAAGGTATTTCTAATTTTTGACTTGAGTGGGCCTTGGATCAAACTCCCATCCCATTCCAGAGTTTGCCTTTTCAGCTGAGCCTGTGTATTCTCCATATATTCTAATGCAGATGCCACTAGACGGTGATATGTAATGTATCTTCCATTAGACTGTATTCAAAATGTACAGGCCAGAGCCAAGTAACTGAACTGAAAACTAAAATCAGCCTGAAACAGACAAGAGTGCAGGGGGATCTTCAGGCTGCTAGAAAGAGAAGAACATTTTTTTGGGGGGGAGCCAAATCCTGCTCTTCTGACTTTTGATCATGTGGTCTCTGCTATAGTGGGACTATGTTAAGACTAGATGATCCCCCAATGAGCAGTGATCACATATACATTTACCTGGGCTTTAGGTTATATGATTGGGCCAAAGGGAACCTGGAGCGATGTTTTCTTTTGTAAGGGTAACTATGTGAGCCCTTCTAATGCTGTTTACTTATATATCCTAGGAAAAAAGGCTGCCAACATCACTTTAAGGGGTAAAAATATCACTTATGAAATTGGGACCAACTTCCTCCCCTCTCCTCCCCAAATCCATATATACAGTCGACTACTGATCTCTAGCTAGAGACCTTCTCCAATATCTGTGGCTTATGCTGGCTACAGCGGTTCTGTAGCCCTCTTCACTACAACTACAACTTATCAGCCTTGTGGTGCTCTTAGGCAGGACTTTTACTTTTAAATATTTAAAATGGCTAATAGATTGCTTAAATGGTTAATGTGAGACATAGATAAAATGAATAGGAAAAGCCTCCATACTTAACACGTAACAGCAATTGTGAATAGAGACTTGCAGAATGCTTTTTGTGTCTCTAAGTAATTGGTTTGTCTTCAACCACAGAGCTGAATATGTTATGTTAAAAATGGCATACAACTATTATTAGAAAATGAGTTTTCTTCAGTACAACCTCTAGCTCAACCATGCTGTATTTTCTATGGTAACTACAAACTTGCAAAGGCTTCTACTTGAAGTAGATTCAAACTTAAAAACCTAGATTCGGTCTACAACTTACTCTGGGGGAATCTTGGCGGGTTGTCATTCACATCTGTGATCACTATAGTGACTGTTGTTGACCCGGAAAGTCCTCCCAGTTGACCAGCCATATCTGTGGCCTGGATCACAACATCATAGCGGTCCTGAGACTCTCTATCAAGGTCTGACACTGCTGTGCGGATCACACCTAATAGAAGATAAAGGAATGATCAAGTATAAAGATGAAGGTTAGTTTTACAGATCCGCTTCCCAGCAGTGATGACCGAATCAGGAGAATTGTCCATTGATCAGTTTTTGATTTGCTTGAGTATTTCCATATTTACTGTAAACACTTGTGAGTTTTATTGATTTAATCTACTTGATATTAATGTTATCTTTCAATGCATTGCTGTTGAATGCTCCCAATTATGCTGCTGAAGATAATAGACAGAAATGGAGCGGCTCAACTCTCACACATCGTTTCCCGCTAATGGGACCTCAGTGCCAGATGAGGCTTCTGCCTAAGCCTTAATTCCAAGAGTTAATAGATAACGGGCACTCAAAACGGTATCAGTCCAGTCATGTCAATTTATCCCCAAAAGGGCAAAACAGTCAATAACAAACTCTGACGTGTTTCCGCCCCAGAACTGAGCTTCAGTCATAGCTTTGACTAGGGCTCAGTTCTGGGGCTGAAACGCATCAATAATTTGTTATTGAATAGTTTTATGTCTTTTTGGGAATACATTGATATTACTGGACTGATACTGTTTCGAGTGCTGGTTTTCTATTGACTCTGTGCTTCTGAAGAAGCAGGAATCTATATCCGAGAGATGCATAGAGAAGGACCTCTCCATTCCTTCGCACGTGGTTTACCAGCAAATGGGTGGTGGATGGTGATAATAAATGATTGGAGGCTCTGTTAAATCAAACACAGCCTCCAATTATTTTTAATGTTTACATGAAATAAAAATAATTTTTAGAATTAAAATTTGATTGTCTCATGGTACCTAAAAAGTCAGCTTTTCTATATATTTTTATGCTATGACTTATTTGGATGTAGTACCCTAGTATTTGAACCCACAATTATCACTTTAAATTAAATACATCTACATAATAAGGATATATAAAAATAATTATCTCCAAATACATCTACATGTTAAATAATAAAGTGCACCTATCTATAAGAAATAATGGGGCTGCCATTGCTGACTCCACTCATGAAAATACGAGTTGCCTGCCTATGTGTCCTATACGTCTGAGACATATGAAAAAAGTAAAGTACATATAAACCCAATCATTAAAATCTCATATAATGAGATGATATGTTTTATTTGTTAATGTAATTTCTAAAATCATTTTCAATATTTTTAAATCTGCAACTGTCAATAAAATAATACCCGGTGATTCTGCCAATAAGGTCCCGTTATAGGGTGACAACGCTCTATCCCTCTCTCCCAACTGTGTACGAATAAAATGTATACCAGTTCTACCCTGCTAGCCCTTGCTTTGCTTAGGGGTGCATTATCATACAGAATAGTTACAATTCATCCCCAAATCCAGTACCAAAGCCAGAAATCCAGCACTCGAATCCATGATCCAAATGAAGACAGCAGCATACAAAGGACATGATCTGCTTACACATTTCAGCTGCAAGCAGAAGTCTTGATCATCAAACCCTGTCTCCCAATTCTGCTCCTATGTTGTCACCCTGTCACAGGGCTTCTTATTCAGACTACAAATGTCCATTTCAACACACAGTAGCCAGGTATTGTATACTGTTTTATTTTTATCTAAAGTGTATGTAGACACGAACAACAAAAATCCTTTATTTGTTCCTTTTCGCCTTTTAAATATATACCACTGAAAATATTTTGTTACATCTGTTCGATAAGTGCACAAAAATACCTGCTGGTCTTGTCAGAAATTCATAGTTGTTCTGTGCCTTATGTACATCTTTTGTGTTATCTCAAGTAGAGTAATTAGCTCTCCTAGTTATTATCTTGGGACTACATAGTAATAGTATTTATGTTGTAGAGATGAGGAGAGTGAGAGAGTTTGAGTAGTTAAGCAAATTAAAACTAGGCAGGGCAGACATCACTCGGCCCATTCACACCACATCCAGATCATCTCCAGACCAGATTGTTTCCGGACCCAAAATGCATCCTAATGTATCCCTGTGCTATTTCTGACCTCTGTTCACACCAGCGCAGTTCGTTCCAGACCAGAGCAGAAAAATACTGCATGTCTCATTTTGTCTGGCCAGGAATACACTGGAACTGCGGGCAGGTTCACACCATTTTCTGGACCAGATCTGGCCCGGAAAATGGTGTGAACCTGCCGAGTCCACAAAAATGCCATGTTGACATTGGAGCTGAGTGCATTTCTGGCAGATCAACAGATATTTTTCTGTAGTTGCAGGGACTTTAAAGTGTATTTCACTTTTGCAGTCAAATTGTGATAACTACTTTATATTTGTTACATGTTCTCATCACATTGCATAAGTTAAAAAAAAAACAGGGTTATTCACTAAAGAGTGAATAGTTTGGAGAAGGCAGGAGAAGGGCGAGGAGTTTGTCCTAACAAAGGTTTTAAGACTTAGAAGCATTGTATGGTAATGAGAAGATCAGTCTGTCCATCAGTTTTACCCTCTACTTTCACTCCCAAACTGCTCAGAGTAGCCTGGAATCTGCACAAAGACCTTCGCCAAAAACATCTAAAAGGTAAGAAATGTTTTTTTTTTAAATTCTTTTTTAGTATGTGGTGTGAACAGGAACATAGAACAAACATATAGAGGGGTTTTCACACATTTGACTGCAAAAGTGGAAATACATATTAAAGGGATAAAACATTGGGAAATGTGAATTATAATTTATTGCATAAGTATTTTTATTTCACCCTGAGATACACTTTATTGGCAATTGTTTATGATACACAGCACTTTCTCAAATGTGACTGAGTTAGGGTTTACATTTACTTAAAGTGAACCTGTCTTTATATAAATACTGTATGGGGGCTGCTACTGTTGGTATCCTTCTAAAAATGTTAGTCTCTTGCTTGTGTTTGGCTTTTATTTTTCTGAGTAAATAATCTCTTTGTGTGAGGAATTCAGCAGCTAGTACTTTTTTTTGTAGAATCCTCTTATCTCACATGCAGATATTTTACTTCTGAATACAATTTTTATCATCTTAACCGAGTACATTTTTTCACCTCAGGCATTATTCTAAATCCTGAGCCACAGTGTGTTTTAGCCCTTGAAAACATTGGCTTTTGGACTTTGCATCCCTGTGATGACATAAGTGCTTTTGGACTTATTGGACTTGGTGTTTTTTTTCACCCACTTCACGTGTTAGTTTTCTGAGATAATATCGGAGTTATGTGGTTGGTTTAGATGCAAATAGCGCTTAGCTTAGAATTCCCATTTAATACACTGTTAATGTCATTTGTATTTTATGTCAAACAACATACAGTATTAAAGGAATATCAAACAGATCAAACCAATATACATTGCCCAGCAAAGTGTTTCTTTACATTTTTGGCCAAGTACTTACAGTCATCATGTTTACAAACAGCTCCAATTCTCTCAGCTTGGCTTTCTTGAACTACCTGTCCAGTACAAGATCACAAGAGACAAAGCAGACTCCAACAACTGTTCAACTGCTAGCCTGGAGTAGGGGGACCAGTGGAGTGGTTTGCCCTGCTGTGCCTGTATGTTTGTGGAGATACACACAGCTTACCATCACACACAAGAATGGCTACATAGGACCCTGCAAGGCAAAGGAGCCACCCTAAAACAGGATATCAGGACCAGTGGCGGAACAATCACCATAGCGACCCAAGCGGCCGCTATGGGGCCCGGGGGACACAGGGGGGCCTAGCCAGGACATCCACCTGATGCTATGTGGGCCGCCTGGGTCGCTGCGGCATCTCAGGCTGCTGGCTGTCACTGGAAGCTGTGAGAAGGAAGGGGTCGCTATTCACATCACTGACAACCTGTCAGTGATGTGTGCAGCGGCACGCTCCTCCTCAAAGCCGCTGCTTAGTCGTTGACAACCAGCGGCTGCGGAGGAGGTGGCTGGGCATGTCGTTGGCTGCGATGAAGGAGGCGGGGGCCCAGCGATGGAGGAGATGGGGCCCGGCGATGGAGGAGGCGGGCCCAGTGACGGAGGAGGTGGGGCCCAGTGACGGAGGAGGTGGGGCCCACCAGCGACTACGGAGGAGGAGGAGGTGGACAGGGGATCGGGGCTGACAGGTAAGAGGGTTTGACCAGCCCACCTGAGACCCTACAGAGCCCACCATAGAGAGTCTATCGTGGGCTCTGCAGGGACACTCTCAGGTGGGCTGTTTGGGTTATCAGGTGGGCTTAACTAGAAATTACAGTGCCCCTTACAAGATTTTGCTATGGGGCCCTTTGATTTCTAGTTACACCCCTGATCAGGACCAATGCTCAAGGGCCAGATGATTCTGCAGGAAATGTTTAAACATCTGTAATTTTATCAGCATTTAAAATTGCTTAAAACATTTTGACTTTAATATCACTTTAAAAACACATTCACAAAGGGGGTCACAGGGGGTCCAGCTCAATCATATGCAGGTAGCAAAAGCCTCTGGTTAATACATCTGGATGTTTATATAATTTAGTTAGTACAATTGCTATAGAAGAAATTGCTATTCTGTATCACTAGATGTATGGCCTTTGAAATGGAAATTAGAGAAGAGAGAGGAATTTAAAATATATCTAAACCTAAGAACAAAAATTGAATATATTGCCTTAGATGTGGTGGCTGCATCAGGTCTCTTTTTTTTTTTGAAAGCTAGATATCTTTTCTGCAAGTACAGCATATACCTCCAGTAACCTCCTTTGTACAGAACTGAAGACTGAAACAAAGTTATCAGCCTTCCCAGTTCTCTCTGTGAGCAGAAGAGAAGGAGACATGACCCTGTGTGAGACATGACACTGTATGAGACATCACACAGTCACGCTACGCGGCAGGGGCAGAGCAACATTTTTCGATGAGGATCGCATTGTAAACAGAACAGTGCCATGTGTCTATCTTTTGCAGGCTCAAGGGACAGATGCTTTGGTCCCCACAACAATGACTGGGCCTGGTGCAACTGGCCCTTTGCCCTGCTTTAAGGACGCAGGGGCGTCCCGAGGCCGGGTGTCTATCTTTTGCAGGCTATAGGGACAGATGCTTTGGTCCTCACAACAATGACTGGGCCTGGGGTAACTGGCCCTTTGCTCCGCTTTAAGGGCACGCGGTCATTGACGCCTGCCGGCGGGACGTTCACCCGGCGGGATGAGGTATGGCGCCAGGTCCCCTCACCTCTCCTGACACTGCCCGACCTTTTAGAGGGGGTGATACCAAAATGACTGACACCAAAATGACTGTCAGTCATTTTGGTGTCACCCCTCCAATGATGTCACCTGGGTGCAGGCCGCACCCCCCGCACTCCTCTTGTGACGCCACTGTAAGGATAGTTCTGCTTTTAGATCCGGCTGTCCATAGACTAACATTGCACTGCACAGCCATGTGAAATGGGACTAAAGCAGCATTTAAGGGCAAGTAATCTGCTTTCTATACAATTTTAGTTCTTGGGTTTGTTACCCTTTAATGGCTCATAGATTCAGCCCTACAAAAAAACTAGTGAATACTTTGTGAGCCGGACAATTATTCTAATGGAAAACAACTCATCAATTTCCAAAGCAAAAAAAAAATCTCTGTTTGCTGCACACGTCTTGTCTGTGTGCCAACATACTCCGGCACTTGTCAGATTTACACATGTACTGTCGTAAGCAACGCACGAGTGATGTGACTGAAATTGCTTATGTTTGCACCTGGAATGTGTAATTAAGGACTGGCAGGTTGTTGTATTGAGCCGTGATGCAGGTTTTATAATGTTAGTGCTGACTTATGAATTTTCTACCATCTCCAATAAACATTCGTGACAGCTACCTATTGTTGATTGAAGGACATCAATAACTGGCAAGCGTTGTGTAGTAGTGACGATGCTGTAGGGAAGAAGTTTCAAGGAAGCCTGTGCTGAGAGAAATGCAGAGGCTGCCATCGCTGACTTCCTTAAACAAAATGCTAGTCACCTGGCGGTCATTATTATTATAATTATTATTATACAGAATTTATTTAGCTCAGCACTTTACAAAATGAAAGGAGACAGTACCGTTACAATGCAATTCAATGCAGGAGAGTTAGGAGAGCTTACAATCTAGTAGGAGGGACAAGTGATACAAAATGCATTAATTGTGAGTGATGAGCTGATAAAATAAACGTACACATATTATGTGGAGGAGCGATATCCTTTCCTGAATAAGTGAGTTTCTAGGGATCGCGTAAAGGTGGATAGAGTAGGCGATAAGTGGACAGATTTGGGTAGGGAGTTTGAGAGAGTGGGAAACGCTCTGGGGAAGTCCTGCAAGGGAGCATGGCATGAGGGACCTAGAGAGCAGGAAGTCTTGAGAGGAGCGGAGAGGGCAGTTTGGGTGATAATGCTGATCCAAAGGCTTCAATACTTGAAGTCATTAAACAGGAACAAGTACAAGGATGGTAAAAGTCAAAATGAAGTCAGAACTCCTGACCTTCATGCTTGTTCTGGGTCAGTGAATCAAAGTACTAGATCAGCATGACATTCAGGCCACCAGGATTTTCATAAGGAGAGGTCAGCCATTGCAGCCTCCATACTTTGCTACTGCGTCCCCTTGTGGTCACTGGTTTCATTCAACAAGGCAAGGCAAAGCACATTATGGATATGTTACATACAGTGATCCATGATAAGTAGTGGTCAAGGGGGAGGGGTGGTGTCACTTGTTGCCGGGAGCTCAGTAGGACGATGGCAAGAGTGTCCCAGGTTGCTATGAGCAGGGTGGAGAGATGTGTATGGCCCTGGAAAATACCATAAAGTAACTCGCACTTCGTTTGTAGATAGCAGTCAATCTCCTTTATTGACTGAACATAATGTCGTCAGAAAGCAAATGTATATGTGTATGGCCCTGGGACACTCTGGCCGGAAAGGGGGTGGTAGGCAAACTGCAAACATTGTGTGGCAGAGAGGCCATGAGGCCATGCCGCTCTGTCTGCCTGGCAAACGGCTTGCAAATTATTTATAAAAAAGTGGAGAGCCACTGGTACTTGCAGCAGACAGGTATGGTTGACCAGGACTCACCCGTCTTGCTGTCCACAGTGAAGTGCTTCTCCCCTTCCAGGACACTATACACAACTCTTGCACTGCTTCCATAAGCTGGGTCATCCGCATCCCATGCTGATACAGCCATCACAGACGTACCTGTACAAAGAAAAGATAAAAAGCTCTAAAACATTTACCCACCTCACCTTGGCCATCTCATTCCGTCAAAAAGACTCACCCACAGGGGACAACTCAGGGACACTTCCAATGTAGGGTGACTGCAGGAATCGGGGTTCACTGTCATTAATATCCTGCACCTTAATGATGAATTCAGACTCTGGTTCCAGCAGTCTGTCTGTGTGTCTGTCCCTGGCCTGGGCGCGCAATGTGTAAAAGGTCTTGTGCTCCCGATCCAAGCGCTCAGTGGCATGGATGTCTCCAGTGAGTTCATTGATGATAAAGATGGATCCAGCACCCTCTCCAGAAATTGTGTATTTGATGGAGCCATCACCTTCATCTGAATCCGAATGTATCTGAGGGAGTGAGAGAGAGAGAGGTTACTTTCACTGCTTGTATACCTCCCCCCAAAAAAGTATGTACACTACTAAGGAAAGGAAGGAAATGAGGACATAACTAAAGTCTTGAGGGCCCATTGACACTATTGCAAAAATATTATTGAAATCTTCCAATGTGCACACTAGTTTTGGTAACCCTGCTGATCACCATGGACTTCCCTCAATATGGAGGGATTTCTTCTCACTTCCTGTTGGGTCTGTCAGACAGGAAGCAAAGGAAAATCTTAACAATGCAGCACAGTTGGCAAAAAAAAAAAAATGCTGACAGGGGTTATACCTTCCCTTAGAAAAAAAGTTTTGTCTTCAGCTCCACTACAATACATAAATCATGTGAATATGGTTCAGGACTCAGGAGGGCAGTATTTCCAGAATGAACCTTAGATCAAGAACACGGGAACATGACCTCTAGAGGTGGAAAGTTTAATACTACCCTTAGAAAGTATTATTTTACAGAAAGAGTAGTTGATGCTGAGAGCAGACGTCCAGCAGAGATAGTGAGTCAACGGTAAGTTGATTCAAGCATGACCGTGATAAACATAGGACAAAATTTAGACAAAAATATACTGATATTGTCCTGGAAATACTTTGCTAGGTAATGTATATTTGTTTGATCTGGATTCATTATTGAAAAAAAAAGTTTGCAAGTTCAATACTACTTTAGGGTAACACTTTACAGATAGTTAGGGCCATTATTTATTGGGTTTTAGCATTTACATGAAGAGGCTGATTAATATTGATTTTACTGTAATTACAACTGTGTTCCAGAGTCAAAAGTGGAAAATTAAAGGAAACTTGTCATGACAGAAGTATAGGGGCTGCATTTGTTAATCTCTTTCTCAAAATACTAGTTGCCTGGCTGATGTCATCAATAGTTTATATGGTTCTTGAGTCACTGAACCAGAAATGTGTGCGGATCAGAAAAGTCCCAATCTGCATACATGCGTTAGGTCAGTTGCTCAAAATTTTGAAGCTTGACAACCAGGCATTCTCAGGAGAAGCGATCAATAATGGCAGACACCATATTTTTGCTTTAAGGCAGGGGTGGACAAATCCGGCGCTCCAGTTGTGCTTTAAGTACAAATCCCAAAATGCCTCTGCGAGTCATGCCTGGAACTGTCAGTGGTGCAGTGCCTCATGGGACATTTACACTTACACTTTAGGTGTAATTTGGTATTCCTGCATCAGGAACGTTTACTGCAGCAGGAATCCCAAATCTGCCATTTACAAGCAGCAGCAGCTGTTACCCATTAGACATGTAAGCTGCGGAAATATTTGGTTTGGTCCGGATATATTAGTTATTTTGGGATTCGGATCCGAAATCTGAATTTTCATTAGTTAAGATGATTTTATGAATTTTCGTTGTGAATACCACAGAAAACCATATACAGATATTAATACTAAAGCTGAAGCTCCCAGACCCGAATGGCATTCGGGATCCGAATTTCTGAATTGCATTCGGGAGCTCCAGAATGCCATTCGGGTCTGGGAGCCATATACATACTGTATATTGCTAATCCTGATTAGCCCGTGTGAAAGGGGCCTTACTCTCAAGCACAAAAGCTTGGGGCAAACATCGTTGTCCTGCAATTATTCTCTAAGAGAGACCCACAAAGCCAACTTGGAGGGGTCTTTATATAAGTGCACCTGTCATGGGTGAAACTTGAGTGCTACCCTTGCTAAGGTCTCTTTCTCAAAATACTAATTGCCTGGCTGTCATGCCAATCCTTTATTACTATGAGTCACTCTGGTTAATTTACTAAAGCACATTCTTTTATAAAGGTACATTTTTACTTTGCATAGGAATTTTCACTTAGCTTAGCAAATGTATTGAAACTGTGCTGCTTTCACCCATCTCAACTGGCTTTGTGTTTGGGGACGTGTTAGCGTGGCTGCAGTGCCATTGCATGAAGGGGGCAGTTTAGATAGCTCTGGAACGCGCCACAATTGGTTTGAATGGGCCCTTAGCCAAACAGCCAGTCAATGAGCCTTTTCAGCAGGAGGTCAGCAATTACAGCCCCACAATTTACTCATGACAGGTGTATTTTATGGCGAATAGAGATTTTTCTTTATATTTAATTATTATTTAGTCTAAAACAAAACAATAATCCTTTTCAAAGTTTCTTGGCTGGGACCATATTTAACTGGCACCATATTAACAAAAATACTGTAAAAATGAAACCAGGCGGATGGCACCTGAATTACTCATAGTCTGGGCATATGTTTTTTTTAATCTGTCTTGTCCTGCTCATTTGTTGGCAGTTCTTCCTTACTGCCAGCGACATTCTCTGCTCAGTAGAAAGAACGGATACAGATCCAGTAAGGGAAGAAGCATCTGCCAAAACAGCTTGGCTTTAGGGGATGAAAGTTGTGTTTAGAGCTTATATATAACTTAATGCACAAAGTGAAGACATTTATTGGAATCCTCACACATGTAAAAATGAAGAATGAGGCTTCTAGGAGTTTCACCAGTTTTATTGTTTGCATGCGGAGAGTTGTAATGCTGATGTCTCTCCAAAAATGAGGTATCACTGTTTGGCAGGAATAACATCTGTAAGACTGAAATGTTCTGAACTAGCGATTATGTAAAACGTAGAAGTGCACTGCTGCTTAGAGGATTACGCTGCCTTGCTTATACAGTAAACTGCCGGTTATCCAGCACCCATATGGAACGGTAGGTGCTGGATAACTGTAGTTTCAGGTAGCTTGAGAGTTAATAGTAACTCTCAAGCAACCCCCACACATGGCGCCATTCACCTGCCAGCTAGCTTGGGTCTAAGCTTGTCCTATTTCGTGTCATCTGGGCTCTCATTGGTATATCATGGACCAGTGGATTGGTAGCTTTGTGTTGATTACTAATTGGTTGATTGCCACATGAACTCCACACAGTATATATGTTTGGGCCTTTCTATAGCATACTAGCTCTGAGGAAGGGGGACGCCAGTTGGTCTTCTCTGGAACCCGCTCTGTATTCCCATTGCTCATTCCGCCATACCTCTATGTGAGTAGTTTTTATTACCTTTTAATACTTCATCTAATAAACCTTAATACACTAGGAGGGGGCGCTGTTTGTTTTATTTTGTTTTACCTGCCTTGCTGTGTGACAGAATTGATAAATGTCCCCTACTGTGTCCCCTCAATAAATTTCTTGATAATCCAGGGATCATAAAGGGATATACTATATATATTGCAGAGTCAATAGCTACAGACCTCCAAACTTCATGCAGCTGAGCAGCTGCATCCAAGCCTTACATCACCAAGTGCAATGCAAAGCGTCGGATGCAGTGGCGTAAAGCACGCCACCACTGGACTCTAGAGAAGTGGAGACGTGTTTTTTGGAGTGACGAATCACGCTTCTCTGTCTGGCAATCCGATGGCTGTGTCTGGGTTTGGCGGTTGCCAGGAGAATGGTACTTGCCTGACTTCATTGTGCCAAGTGTAAAGTTTGGTGGAGGGGGCATTAGGGTGTGGGGTTGTTTTTCAGGGGTTGGGCTTGGTCCCTCTGTTCCAGTGAAGGGAACTCTTAAGGCATCAGCATACCAAGACATTTTGGACAATTTCATGCTCCCAACGTTGTGGGAACAGTTTGGGGATGGCCCCTTCCTGTTCCAACATGATAGCGCACCAGTGCACAAAGCAAGGTCCATAAAGACATGGATGATTGAGTTTGGGGTGGAGGAACTTGACTGGCATGCTCAGAGTCCTAACCTCAACCTGATAGAACACCTTTGGGATGAAGTAGAGCGGAGACTGCGAGCCCGGCCTTCTAGTCCAACATCAGTTCTTGACCTCACAAATGTGCTTCTGGAAAAATGGTCAAACTTTCCCATAGACACACTCCTAAACCTTGTGGACGCCTTCCCAGATGAGTTGAAGCTGTTATAGCTGCAAAGGGTGGGCCAACTCAAAACTGAACCCTACGGACTAAGACTGGCATGCCATTAAAGTGCATGTGCATGTAAAGGCAGGCGTCCCAATACTTATATATTTATATATATATATATATATATATACATACACATACACATACACACACACATAAGGGTGCTGAAAATGATATTCTGTGCTGCATTTGAACTATAGTATTAAAACAAAAATGTAAATGAAATTATAGTTGAATGCTAAATATTAACATAAGTGACACACAGTATATTGCAAGCAATGAACCCTGAAAGTAATATTTGGTGCCAAGCGTTACAATTTACAATTCCCTTTTTTTTATTTTACTGTTACACAGCACCCATCATTCATTCCGCGTCAGTCATTAGTTACTCTTTACTCATCGGGCATTTTATTCTGATTTATGATAATGTTTATATATAATACAGAGCATTGTAGTCCTGTCTAAGGCAGGTTTTACACTGATGTATGATGATGTCCTACAAGACTTTTCATATATATGGACATCATCTATGCGCACAGCGGTTACTGACAAGTTAAAACTGGGAAGGAAAGAAGAAAGGAGGGAGGAAGGGCCATTATGCATGCCCCTTAAAGTGGAACTCATTTCCCCCTTCACTTTAAATAGAGTGGCAAAGGACTAAAACACCACATTCATTTTTTTCATACAGTTGGATCAGAAAGACTTCCCTTCCATAAAAGTTTTTTTTTTTTTGACTGTTTGTGCCCCTACTGAGAAGATATGACCTGTTCCAGACACAAAACAGGAAACAACTTTAACAGTTGTTGTTAACAATGGAACAACTGCCCCCATTCAAAGATATGGCCTCTGCTCCTGATTCAGTGACAATTTTAGCTTCCCCTCACTTTCTGGTCTGGAAGTGGTTCTGATCCTCCCACACGCAAAAACAAGAAAATAGCTGGAGCTTCACTTTAATTTAATTACAGATATAGAGATAAAAAGAGAGAAAGGGAGTGAAAGAGAGAGAGAAAGAAAGAAAAAAAAGAAAGAGAAGAAAGATGGAAGTGTAGCCACCTTGCCCTAAGTGGGCTGACTACAT